CTATAGATTCCAATTCCAAGAGGGGTTACTCTACGTAGGGTGATTCCTAAGTATCGGATCTCAGTATTCCTAACAGTATTATCCTGATACGTTCAATTCTGTAATATTATAGCCACAGGACGCAACTAAGATAAATATGTATGATAATATGCATGCCTTGTAAGGGGATTGGAGAGAGATGTTGGAGACTAGAGATTCCAATTTTGAGTAGAGTGATTCTACCTAGGATGGTTCTTAGGTATCAGATCCCAGTACTCTCAACAATATCAATATTAACCTCACTAGTAATCTCAGGAAGTGTCTTTTGCCAGTACTCTGGATCCTAAACTGCTAAGTCTCAAAGAGTTTCTAATTCCTTAGAATCTTTTGTAATATTTGATATAACAGGTTCAGTTCTTTCAAGTTCCTGATTTTCAAGACAGTCAATAAGTGCTACAACTGTAGTTTTATTTCCAATACATATCTCTATTCAATGATTAATTGCTATTATGATTACTCTTTTTGACTCAGGATAGATAAAATCTTTGCTCAATTGCAAATCTTATTCATCATCTCTGCAGAAACAGTCCCTCCAAGTTCTTTTTCAATAGCATCATAGGTGATATCAGCTACCTCTCTCATCCCAATAATAGCTCCTCTTCCTTGCATTATAGTATACTTCCACTGAGGTATTGTAGAATTGTGATAGCTGTAAATAGGAATGTTAATTTGGAGGCAAATATGTGTACTTGTAATATGAGTAATTATTACTCCCTCAAGCTATTACAGGTTGTTGATATCATCAGTGACGGTTAGGAATACTGGGATCCGATACCCAGGAACCACCCTAAGTAGGGTAACTTCTCTCCAAATCGGAATCCCTGGTCACTAACATACCATTCCGGCCCCTTAATGGAACCCACATGTCATCATATAAACCAAGCTCAATTATGTCGTGTAACTATAGTGCCTCAGAATTAAAGGTATAAGAATAATACCGTATATGTAGCTGCCGTCTATTTGGCCAGATGCTCGCATAAGACTACGTATGCTCCTGCCAGCGCANNNAGGGTTCAAAGATGTGACATCTTTGGTTTAGGCCATAGGTAACAGGACATTTTTGCATAAAGAGATAGTATCGAATAATAAAAGATCTTAACAAGAAACCAATATATTCACATTCATCCTATTATAACTTGAAGAATCTCGAACTTCAAAGGACACTATCACAGAAGTCAATAGACTTCACGAAGTGTTACAACTGAGTTTCGGAACACATTGTAACTGTGGGAATAATTTCTAATACTAGAATAGCGATTGAAGCCCTATTACTCAAAGCAACCAAAGGTTGTCAAACGAGAGATTATCTGTCAATCTGGTAGAATAGTTTCCAGCAAATTAGTAGGAAGTCTTCCAGAAGATATCTGTTACTTGAGTAGGAAGTTATGAAGGTTTGAAGTTAGGTGACCAAGGAAGATTGTGATGATAACTATCTTCGCAGATACAACCCGCAGATGAAACTGATTATTTCATCAATGACAGAGACAATTGGGGCCAAATAAATGCGACCTGAGGACTAGGCCTTAAGTCTAATAACTCTGATGATCAGATAATTAATATTGGGAATAGCATGGTTCCTAGTTAGTTATATCTTAATTACTGAAGAGAGTGTAGTGATTTTCAGAGTTTCCAGGTGATCACATCTTTGAAGAACACCTAACGTTGCGAGTTATAATCAGAAAGATACATAATTGTATAATAGATAGATATAGTCTGCGAACACTCAGATGCGGAATATAAATATTGAAGTGCCTCCCAAGTTTTTAAACATCATCAAGCAATGGAAAAGAGACGTTAACAATATAATATAGTCTTCACAATTCTATTCTACTTCAACCACTTTACTTCACTCTTAGTCATAAATGCAACGTGTGAAATATGAGACTTCCTAGACAATCTCCATCTACTGAAATGAATCTTTGTTGACCTAGACAACTCCAAAGTCTATCAGCTTGTCTCCGCCTAACAGTGACTACCTTTACCTCTAAAATATGATGCTACCAGGTAGCAGTGATAATCTTGGTAAAGACATGCAAGTACAGCACAGCATAATACTAGTATCTTCCTTGCTTCTACCATCTTTATAGTAATCTTGGAGAATTTAAAAAATATTAGTTTCGAAGAAGTTGTTAAATAATCAAGTTATTTTTTAGTACACTATAGGAGATTAGATTGCAGGTTGTCGGAAATTAGATCTGCAAAGTAGATTAGATTCATAGATAATAAGATTGAATTTTTGAGATATGTTGTTCTAGTATACATACTTGTACCAAGGTTGTGGCTAGTAGCCACAACTCCTGGTTACTTACTCTCTCGCAACCTTGGGTACTCCTCCAGAGTGCCTGACAGTTTAACTTGACTTTTTGGCTTCACATGACTTTGTAGCTTACTATTATAATTTTGTGATACAACATGGCTTTGTGGCTTCTAGTAGTAATTTTGTGGCTCAATCTAGCCTTATAGATTAATCATACTATCATTAAACTTTCTTATCAATTCTTTACAGTACCACAATATCTTGATATTTAATACAAAATTAGTAGTTTTCAGAATATGGATTCTTATATATCTCCTTCTATATCTTTCCTTTCTGTACAATTCTGTTACAATAACCTTAGATATTTCTTCTAAAAGGTATGAATTGTTTTGTATTATTTTTACTGACTTTATTTTCTCAATTTCCTTGCAGAATTGCCTATATTATTTTCTCTCTATTCTTACTATTATCCTAACATTTTAGGTATTGTGCAACTGCTTTATTACCTACACTACTTCTACATATACTTATATTTTCACAAATAGTCTTACTCCAGAATTGTAAATCATACTACTTTGTATTTGTCAATAGCTGCTTGCTTTATACTAGTATTACAAGCTTTTTGTATACAAGTGCCATGGGTGAAGTCTTCGTACACACCAAAGTGGCTTACCAGCAAAAAAATGTTAAAAATTGGTGAGGTCACAAAGTAGTGTGTGTGAAGACTTCACCCATGGCACTTGTAACTGACAAGTATTAGAAATTTTATATAGTCAAACTCATAATAACATATTGAGTAACAATACTGTGATTAAGCCACAAGGTTGGATTGAGCCACAAAACTACTACTAGAAGCCACAAAGTCATGTTAAGTCACAACATTACAATGGCAAGCCACAAAGTCATGTTGAGCCATAAAGTTATATTGAACTATCAGGCACTCTGGAGGAGTGCCCAAGGTTGTGGCTGCTAGCCACAACCTTGGCACGAGTAATGACGACTATCTATAGTACAACCATAGACAGAGGGTCGCGTCCACCAGCCCCCGTACCATCCCTACGGAGGCATAGCCCCTAAGTATTGTATATTTTACTAAGGACTGGTGTTCCGCTAGCAGGGGTCAGGGAATGATTAGGGTAGTCATCATACTCAATTAGGTAGTCATCATACCCAATTCCATGCTTCTGCCCACGCTAGCCAAACCCCCCTTGCTAGTAAAATATACAATATTTAGGGGCTATACCTCCGTACACTACACAGTACAAGTACCGTATCATACCCGAGAACGATGCCCAAAAGTGAGCAAGCGAGAGCCCTTGGGCAATTGCCCCCATGACATTTTGGGCCCTGCCGCAATTTAGTCTAAGGAATAGTAGAAAAGAGAAGGGATATGGGGGCTTTTGCACATGAGGCTGCATAGACCAATGTTCACGTCCTCAAAATAATTTAATCCAATACAGCACTCGGTATCCGAGCCGCCAAGTAAGAACGATAAGAACGGGAACAATCATTGTAATACTATGCATAAATAAAAGGAATAGATAAATAAATAAATAGTTATGATGAAGGAGAAGAGTACGGTAGTCAGACTAATAAAAAGCATGAGGGCGGCAGCGTGCATGGTAAGTAAGAGAGAGAGAAAAACGCCCAAATGAAATAAAAATAAAAAACACAAAAAAGTTTTCATGGAAAAATACGTAAGGTGAGGTGGAGAGAAGCGCGTGATAAGAAAAGGAAGAAATAAAAATAAGGGAAATAAAAAAGGGATTGTTAAACGCTTGATTTTGGGGGTGCTAATCAAGGTGGTATGACATTTATTCTCTTTTCTCCTGTCTGTCCGTTTGTCCGTTTTCTCCAAACCACAACAAAAACTGCAAGAGTATATGATTCTTTCTCTTTCATCCATAATCCATTCAAACAGCGACGAGAATGATAAAATAAGTATAGGAAAAACGCACGCACGCACACACGCCAGCACACGTGCGCGCCCCACACATACACACACGCACACGTACACATAGTCACGCGCCCGGACAGATACAGACTGACATATAGAGAATAGATAGAAAGAACTATAAGATAAAGTAGAATAATGGTAAGAAGAAAGAAGAAGAAACAGACAATGAAGTATCATCATAAAATGAATAGGTAGTCAGATAAACAACGGACGTACAGAAATATATCGGCAGAGGTGTGAATATAGGGTGATTGACGGATGGATGGATGGATGTGAACATATAATGATAGAACAGATAGAAGTGAAGAAGAGCGCAAAAATAAAATAAAAGCATACAAACCCCCCCTTTTTTTCCCATCAGCCGAAAACTACCACTACCAGTACTAACTACTACCCCGGCCGCCATTCCTTCTCTCCACCATCCATCCGTCCGCCCATAACCCATTTTTCCTTTTCCCAGAACAAAAAATGAAACCCGTGGTTCCGTTGCCACGATTTTCCACCAAAAAAGTAACCAGAGTAAAAAGCAAAAAGAGAATAACAAGAAAGGACAACAGTTAAATAATTGGCAAAAGAAAAAAGAGAAAAAGACAATAAATAAAAACAGTCAACAAAAAATCATCGTTGGTCGGAGAATTTCCAAAAAAAAAAACACCCCAACGCGCAACCGTTCGACTCCAATGACGAAATTATACAACATCAAAAACCGGAAAAAGGTGAGTGTTCGACCACTATCACCTGCCTGAGTCATGACTCGCCAGTGCCTGCTTCTACGCCATCATTCCATTGCCCTGATAGGCCATCGAACGCCGCCATCCCCTGATTATCCTCGGTGTTGAGGAAGGAATCAAAATCAAAATTGTCCAGCAGTGAATCGTTCGAACCGTCTTGGAATGCATCAAACCCAAGAGTGAGATCAGCAGGCATATCGCTGAACGCGTTTGCGGTCGTTGGGTCTTGTGCGGCGATGGGGGCTGGTGGCGCTGCAGGTGCAGGGTTGGGTGTATTTTGCTGGGGTTGTCCTGCACCGTTTCCGCCTTGTGGGGCGCCGGCTCCGAAGTTTGCGGGGCGTGGGTGCGCGGCACCCGGGGCGAACGAGCTTGGGTGCTGCGGTGTGGTCGGCGTTTGGGGTTCCGATGAAGGAGTAACCGGGTTGGGGGCTTGTGCAGCCGCACCCGCATTTTTCTTGGTAGGCCGTTGCTGTTTAGAATTAGCTCGAATAGGAAAATGTTGCAGCATGTAACAGCTTACCTTCTTTCCAGCATCTCTTCCACCCTTAGCCTTTGGTGCAGACTTATGGGATTGCGTTGGTGTTGCCGGCTGTTGATTTTGAACTTGTGGCGATGAAGGTTGAGTGCGGCCGTTGCCCGGCGCACCCGCCGGTGCCGAAGGAGGTGGCATTGCTTGGTGGGGTAAATTTTGCCTGGCCTGTTGCGGAGTGCCAACCTGAGGAGGTTGCCCCGATTGTTGTCCACCCGGTTGTTGCGGCTGCTGCTGCTGCTGCTGCTGTTGTTGCTGAGCAGCCTGATGCATCTGCATCTGCTGTTGTTGCTGAGTCTGCCATCCGGGGCCAACCATCTGGGATGGGCCTCCACGGCCAGCTTGTTGTGCCCTCATTTGAGGCATATCACCGGGGGGCATCTGTCCATTGAAACCTGTATGCGAATTGGGGGGGCGCATCATAGTGCCATTTGGTGCTCCTCCGCTTTGTGTGTTGCTCATCATACCCATCGAATCCTTCATCTGTGGGTAAAGCAAGTTCTGATGGGCTTCCTGGGGAATTTGGCTATTGAAAGCACCCATAGCAGCCGGCGAATTCCGTTGTGGTACTTGTCCCGAGATTTGTCCTTCGGGTAGGGGGGATCCTGGGCCCGCCTGGTTCTGCATCTTAGGTGTGCCTACCATTTTTGGACCACCCTGGGGCTGGGGTGAAGGAGCAGCTCTGCTCCCTGGCGACATGCTCTGGGGAAATCCAGCCTCCATTCGGCGCTGGCTATCACCATGGTGAGCAATGTTGTCCTGCTCAGCACGTGCCATCATCAGCCGCTTCTTATTCTGCTGCTCAAGCATCATCAATTGCATCTGGTAGTCGTGCAATGCGTGATTGCCAGTCCCCGGATTCATACCACCTCGCATCGCACCGCCTCCAGGTGTTGTCGCATAAAAGTCACTAACACCTAAGGGTGCACCTTCAGTCGTTTGCGGCATCATCGGCGAGCCGTGGTTCTGCTGGTTCGGCGGCATGCTGGGCATCCCGGCAGATGCTGGGCCACCTTGCTGCTTTAACGCTGACACCGCTCTTCCTGTATGCGCGGCTAGATTCTGCGCATACAACTGGATAGACTTGTGTTGGGTTATCGGGTTTTGACCTTGAAAGGCCGCGAACTGCTGCGGTGTCAATTGGTTAGGATTGATGCCACCTGCCAAGAGCATCTGATGGGCTTGGGAGGCCGAGACAGAATTGCCCGGAGGTACTCCCTGGGGTGCACCCCGACCATTTCCAACTTGCTGGTATTCACCATTGTCCAACCGAATCCGCTTCGTTCCAGGAGAACTAGCATTTTGACCTGTGGCCGGGGATTGCGGTCTTGGCTGCTGACCGTTCATCTCATTTACGTCGCCCTCAGTTCGTTGCATCGCCTGCTGTATCATCTGCTGGTTCTTCAGCGCGTTTATCTGTTGGGGTGTCCTAAATAAAGAAGAAAATGTCAGCCCAGAAACGAACGAAAAGCTTACCCAAACAAGACGAAAGAACGCTCAGTCCCATCGCTTGCATGAGCTGTTAGGAATCGTGGTGGTTACAACTTTCTATTATTGTTCAACATGGCCTGTCGGACAAGCTGGTTCTTATGGTTCATATCCATACCAGCAGTGTTGTCCGGCACGTGCATGCCATTGTTGGCCATCATCCCACCTTGAATAATGCGACCCGAATACGCAGCGTTATTCAACATTTGGCTGGGAACTTGCCCAGACATCAGCTGTTGTTGGTGGGGGGCCATTTGACGAATCACGTCCTGCCGCATCCTTTGGGCAGCCTAATCACGAGAATGTTAATATCGCAAGGCCTTCCCTGCATTGCATCCTCATCTTTCAAATACGGGCTGGCGGTGGGACGCACCTGTGTCTGGGCCACGTAGACCGCGGCGGCATGCGTATTCTTTCCCCCACCACTGCGAGCTCCAAAGATGTCCCAAAACAGACACCACCAATCAAACAGAAAAGAACCGTGGGGACAGTCCGAAGGGACCTTCGGCCGGGGTAAATCATCACCTCTCTTTACCCCATCTTCTCCATCCTCGGTTTTCCTCTGGGAACCTTCACCGGTATCCATTGCATTATCGTCTATACCGTTAACAATGCCGCCGTCGGGATCGTGTTTTTGCGCTCGACGCGCCGGACTTGGTCTTCGACTACCATCATTCGGCAACGTCTGGAGTTCGGCCTCGTTTATGAGGGAGCGCGCTGTCTCTATCATATCGTGCTTTAGGAAGTAGTCATAGATATAGGTATTAAGTAACAATCTCTCGTTACTTGTAGGAACCGGCCGCGGTCCTGGGCCGCCATTCATGTTTATACCCGCAGGACCTCCAACGCCCATCCCCATATTCAAAACATTAATATTCATCCCTACCTGTCCTACCTTGCTATCTGCCTGGCTCATGCTGATGCCAACAGGACAAGAACGAGGCTGTTGTTGTCGCTGGTGCAAAAGCAGAGATTGGATCAAAGCACCAAGCTCCGCAGAGGAGTGAAATAGGTAATGCTTATTGCGATGGCGTGTCCTCTGTAGAGAAAGTGTGAGACTATAAGGAATAGGTCAAGTGCGATGTAAAGCAAGGTTCAGGAGCTCAGCCACAGGTGTTTGAATGAAGGGATGAAGAGGCGGCAAACGACGGAAAGAGAATGGGACCCGTTGTTATTTTTTTATTCTTTAGCGAAGGTGAGCCAGAAGTTAAACCTCTAATATGTTGTAGCGAGAGACTCCGACGCGAAAGGGTTAAAAAGGGAAAGGGAGTGGATGGAAGTTCGAGGGCCGCCCGCGACTGTATGCAAGACCCTTTTTATTTGCCACTTTTTTTTTTTCGTCCGCGGTTAGAAATGTGTTAAGTGATTTGCAAGAAAAGGGACCTACAAAATAAGTCTGACGGCGAAGGACGTTGCAACACACCAAGCTGGTGAATGCGACGCGATTATTTATAAAAGATGTATTGTGACCTCGGTGGTTGTGGTTGACAAAAGATTAGAAGGGGGAGGAGGAAGGGAAAGGTGATAGGATTTGTGGTTGGAGGTGATGGATGGCGGCGGTTGCGATGGTACGGTAGGAGCAACCGTGAAAAAAGTACGGCGCCCGTTGCGGTGTGAAGGAAGCTGCGACGGGTGGCTCGCTAACTCGAGATTTAGAGCAAATTCAAGACAAGTTTCCAACAACGTGGTGGATAAATAGGAGATATTCGGGGAAATAATGGAAATTAAAAGATGGAGTGAGAGAAGGAAAAGGTGAGAAAAATGGCAGGCGTTCTCAGAAATATAGGCAGAGCAGACGGGTGGGAGGCAAAAAGAGGTTGATCTAGCAGGATTGGGGGGAGAGGGGTGATGATGCCAGCAAATAGTAATAGGAACGAAGCCCGCGAACGAGAGATATCGGGTTCAAGAGCTTCTCTTCAGAGTTGCTTTATCAAGGGAAGAAGTGAATGTGTGAGCGGGCGAGGGGAAAAAAAAAGAAGGGAGAGAGCTAGAAGGGCCAGAGAGAATGCGCGCAGCCAGTGAAAGAGCAGTGAGATGATGAGCCAGTTAGAGGTAAAAAATAAAAATAAAAAGCCCGAGCAATGTCCACAGTATCCCTATGTGTGTAATGGGCACGTACACTTCTGAGTGAAGGAATAGAGATAATTATTCCTTTTCTTCTCCGTCCATCGATGGGGGAAGAGGAGTATAGCACAAAGCAGCAACAGGGAGTTAGAGGCAATGGGGGGGGTTTATTACTCTCAATATTAGATGTGGCTCGACAGCAGGGCGCACAACGCCTTTTCTTTCTTTTTTCCTCCCCTCACTCAATAGTACGGCTACCAAAAAGGAATAAGTTATGGAGAATAAGTAGAGAAGCAGGAGGGTGAAGGAAAATAATAAGGCCGGTCGGAAACGGTACAAGATTCGGGTTCTGCTACCGGTATGTTCGACAGCGATGACCGGGGGCGGGGGTTACTGGGGGGATTAGGGGGTCCTGCTTCTGCTGGTGGTGGGGAATAGGAAACGATGGTGATGGAAAGCAGGAAGTACACAACGAAGCAGAGCAAGGCAGAGGGCACAAGCAAAGTTCCTTTGGGTGTAAGGCGTAAGTGAGGCACAGGAGCACAACGCAGATATGGGATATGGGAGAGGGTAAAAAAATGAAATGAAAATGGGACAAGAAAAATTGGCAGAAGGTAAAAAATTGGCAAGTTGAGTATGCAACAGTGGGACTGGTGAGAGGTCTTGAAAGGTGGAAGGTGGGTATGGGTTAGGGTTATATCTTGATTTCTAGGTGTGGGAGCCACCGAAGGGGAAGAAGAAATAAAATAAAATAAATCAGGTGGTGGGGAGGCAACCAAGTACTGTACTAACCACGACCAGACGAAGAAAGGGAAAAAAAAATGGCGGAAAGGGGAAGAAAGGGAGATAGAAAAGGAAATAAGAAACGAAAGGAGTCCGAATTTGTTAAGAAACGAAAATGGGAAGGAAAAAAAATGAAAAATGAAAAATGAAAAATGAGAAAAAAAATGGATGTGCGGGAGAATGGAGAGATGACTGAGGGGGGGGAGCGCGAAGAAAGTCAGGCTCACCTTCAATGATACAGAAAAGAGGGTTCAAGGATCGGACAACTATTGTAGCTCCCTCGCGCGCTGCGAGAGAAAGTTGGGATAATACAATCCAAGCTCTCAAGGCCCTTTGTCAAGGTGAAAAGAGCTTGTTCTACCGGAACAGTGGTTCAAGTGGGACGTGAAAAGTATTACCGACGGCCAAGATATCATATGGCCGGGCGTAGTGGTGGAGGAAATGCCGGTATGCTTAGGGGATGGGGGAACGGAAGGTGATGCGCGGAAGGGAAGGGCGGAATGGAGAAAAAATTGGTGGGAGAACGACCCCTCTATATATGGGTGGAGAAAGATGCCTCTGCCGTAGGCGAGAGAGCTTTTCTTGAAGGCATCCACCCCCCCCCAATAACAACTTACACATATGAGCTCCCCTAATATTGTATAGAAATCCCCCCAACCAGACACTATCCTACCGATTAAGCCCATTATACTTCCGAATTAAACCTACAAAGTCGATCAACCCATCTATCCATAGCTATCTATTCTGTGCAACAAAATTGGTTGAATCGGGAAACGAAAGTATGCCTCGTTGAGATGACCTTTATTCCCTTAATACCTGGCTTTGCCCTACTGCCCTACTGCCCTACTGCCCTGCCGCTACTTGACAACAATCCTTTATACATTGGCCGTCCGTCACCCTCTCCCATTTATGACAGCATTGATGCGTCGCATATAGTAATCGCATCATGGTAAACTTGGCCTTATTAATAGTGCGCCGTTGAGAAATGCTGAGGAAGACATCCTCGAGCTTTAGTAGATACTACTTTGTATGCCAAAACTATTAAAAGGCGGACGGACGGAGGCGTCAAGCGTACCCGATACAATCCTCCACAAAGCTATTGCTCTCGATAAAACCCATCTTACTCCCCCCCCCCACTCCAGACAGGTTCACCGGAACATGGAAACTCATCACGGCCTATTGCCACATAAACCGGTGAAGCCACTGAAGGGAAAGACCCAACCAAACCCGCGAGGGCCACCTCTCTACGGTTATTGGGTAGTGCTGGAAAGAGCGCAGTACTTGTACACCGCGCGACATACAGTAAAAAAGCGGCCAATTGATATCATTACACTCACTAGGACGCTGGTCTATCTCTAATCTTCACCCGGAGGCAGTTCATCATCGATAATCCTTACAAGCGTAACTCTCATCTCAGTCACTTCATTGCCCCGTAGGATATCGCTCGCGAAGTGCGCATCAACCTGCATCTGTACCTGTTCCCCCGACATCCATGCAGCGAGTCAGCCTGCTGTTACCTCGATTGCTTGATTTGAGCCGCAACCTTATCCAACCTTCGCGAGGAAAGAAAGGGGAAAAGAAAAGAAAAGAAAAGAAAAAGGAATAGGAACAGTAAAAACAAGGACCTAACTAAGAGCTTTTGCAACCACTCGCGTAGGTACGTTTTATCCATAGGTTATCACCCTGGACCCTGGCGCGAAAAATAAAACAAAATATCATAATAATACTGTGGCATCTAGATAGGCTGTGGGGCCAGTGAAAAGAAAACTTGGGGAAAACCGGAGTAACATCAAGGAACCCGCCACTCACCATTTCTAATGTACCCCTCAGGACGCCACAGAGCATGTTCGAATACCAAAGCTCGTTTTGTGCTCTACCATCATCTGGCAATTCAACAAAATCCGCCAATGGGTTTTCTTCAAAAATCAACGAGAATTGCTTATTATCGGTGGTCCAATTCGCCACGGTCGGGGTGATGTTCAGAAAGACCTTGAACCCGACCTATTCGTTTGCCGATTTGTCAGCATACCGTACGGTATCAGACAAATAAGAGAACATCTAGTCAAAATATATATCTTCGTGATGCCCCCATCAAAGCAAGGTGATTCCAAACATCGAGGCTGTCCTGCCCCAGGATCTGAGCGAGAGAAAGAGATAAGATCCGGACAAAAAACGAGGAGAGAAGAAAAGAAAAGAAAAGAAAAAAGTACCCGAAACGAATGTATGGGTGGGTGGGTCGAGATACTAGACGTACCTTTGCGATCGTCTCAGCGGTTTCCCGAAAATTGGCACATTTTCCCATGTTCGTCTTAGCCAGGAAGTCTTCAATCAACCTCAAACCGATATTGTAGCCCATCTTCTCAAGTTGTTTGTTGACCTCAAGGTAATCCCCCTCAAAGTCTCTACATAGTTGAGCAACGATTGACCCATAGGTTAAGGTGACGAGCTCGGCGTTCTAGATGCATCGGGATCATGAGCTAGATATTAGAACTCTATCCCCCATTATCGTTCTCTTCCTCTCCGAGCGAAATAAGGGGTAGAGGTGTGAAGCTCTGTTACTGACCACCTTGTCAATTCGGGTCTTCCACACACTGATAATTGGTCAGCTATTGTTTCCTTTATCCTCTGAGTCGATCAAGGGTTCAATAGCAAACTTGGGGAAGGGGACTTACTCTTCACCAACACGAGCAGCTTTAGTAGCCGACATGATAGTAAGAGTTTAGAAGGAAAAGGCAGAAGCTATGAGATGTGCTTTGTATCCTTGCTGTGGAGAGGTTGAATGGTGGGATCTGGTATCGGTGTTTTTAGAGCAAGGGAGGCTCCTTGCACGGGAATGCTGATGGGGATTATGACAAAACCTGAGCAGAAGCAGTCGAGTGGCTGATCTTCGCTGTCAGGGCCGTAACTTACAGTAGCATAAGTGTGTGCAACCGGAGTGTGTCGCGTGGCTGGTGAGATGAATTACTGTCAGAACGATTCAGCCCCATCCGGTGAGAGTTACGGCCGCTCCCGCACAACTTGAAAGCAACCTCTGTCAAAATCTCATCACCGGCATCTTCATTGCTCAGACAAAAACCCAACTCTACCTCGCCAACAAGTCGTGTCTATTCACGTGCAACCCGATTAATACCCTCCGAACCACCTGGGATCTATATTGTTCCAGACTCTCATCATTTTCTCTAGCTATGACTGACAAGCGAAAGGCTTCCGGGTCCCTCGGATCCTCGCAGCTCGTCAAGAGAATCAGACCAGATGGCGCCGGTGGAGATGGATCATCAGCAGTTTCCATTGTGAATAGCTCCGCGAGCGGTGGAGCTCTCATACAAGTTGTACGGTTTACTTCTGTCCTAGCGAATTTTTACAACCTTTGAAAGATCGGATGTGATGCTCATTCAACACGGTTTCATAGGTGCCGCGAACATCAGCTTTGCAAGCTCCAATCATGGAACTAACGGGGCATTCGGTAAGGATTCAGGCTGGGAGAATACCTTCTTTTTCTTTCTTTGTCAAATGTACGGTATGCCAATGACCTTTTGCAGAAGGAAGTGTTCGCTGTTCGCTTCGATCCCACAGGTCAGAATATTGCCTCCGGCTCATTCGATAGATCAATTTGTAAGAGTCTTCCCCGCATTTCAGTTTCTCTACATTTCTTACACTCCTCCCTTTTCCCGCCGAGGTAGCTAATAATGTGACAGTGGTTTGGAGAACATATGGTGACTGTCCGAATTATCTTGCTCTACCAGGGCATAAGGGAGCTGTGCTCGACCTCCATTGGTCACGAGACTCACAAATTATATTCTCTGCTTCTGCCGACACCTTACTGGCCACGTGGGACGTCAGCACTGGGGGTAGGATAAGAAGATACGTCGGCCATGAAGATGTTGTGAATGCAATGGATGTAACTAGACGAGGACCGGAATTGATGGCCAGTGGGAGTGATGATGGGTCTATCGGAGTATGTCGCTCTCTCGGAGATGCTTCCTTCGCGGCCTCGATGCTAAGGATACTCTTCTAGATATGGGACCCCCGACAAAAAGAGTGCATAGATTATCTGGAGACAAACTTCCCAGTAACAGCTGTCGCTATCAGCGAAGCTGGGAATGAGCTTTTCAGTGGTGGGATTGACAATGATATCAAGGTACGAACAGAGAGTCACTCGTCTTGAAGCGGGACTATGCCTTTACTCATCAACCCGGCTACCAGGTTTGGGACTTACGGAAGCGCTCAGTAGCGTACACCATGCGTGGCCACCAAGACACTGTTACATCGCTGAGTGTCTCGCCTGACGGACAATCTATATTATCGAATGCGATGGATAGCACAGTCCGTACATGGGACATCCGGGCTTTCGCACCATCCAACCGACTGATAAATACGTATGTCCCTCCACACGGGGCACCCCTCGTCGCGAGGCTCCTAGCTAATAATTTACTACACAGATACGAGGGAGCCCCGTCTGGAATAGAGAAGAACCTCATCCGGGCAAGCTGGTCGCCGACAGGCGATAAGGTTGGAGCCGGTGGTGGGGACGGCAGTGTCGCGGTATGGGAAGCAGAAACCCGAAAATTATTATATAAGCTTCCAGGACACAGGGGGACCGTTAACGATATGCGCTTTTCTCCAATTGCTGCGGAGCCAATTAGTGAGCATTCAACTACTGAACCCCCCTGATCCAGCACTAATGTTGCACACAGTTGTGTCCGCATCCTCAGATAAAAACATCCTACTCGGAGAGTTGGGTAAATAATACACGCACAAGCCACAGCCAGCGCGGAAGCTATTTCAAAAAAGAGAGGATGAAGCAAGGGGGGTGTTCACGATACTACACCATCCAGGGTGTGTAATGACAAAAATGACCACTGTACTATACAATATTCATTCCAAAATTCCAATACTATACTGCACTACCCATCGCCATATCGCTACAAGCACTAGCGCATGAAGCCCCGTATTCTAAAAACGGCCGGCGGCTGTTTTCCGACAGCGGTTCCGTACCCGTATCATATCAAACCCACCACCCTACTACGGCACCATAATACCGCACTCTTGGGCGCGTGAACGGACGCGTGAATGTACCCGTGGTGACCAGCGCAGATATTCGCAATCACGTTGTATTGGTTATTCGTCACGAATCTATTGACATTCTTGGTGGAATTGTAGTAGTAACTTATTTGGAGGGCTGCTGGACCCACTATGGAAAAGGTGAGAAGAAGAAGAGCGGGCGGGGCAGAGAGCGAGCACTGGACATAGATTTCTTCCATTAAATTTTTATCTTCTTTTGTTCCTCCCCCTTTCTGCATCTTCTTCACGGACGAACCGTGGAATAGAATAGATAATCCTACGCGAAAAGCCTCCTACGCAATCTGTCGTTGTGACCAATCTATAGCCTGAATCGCCGCTCTCGTTAGGATGACCTTGCCTTCCGTTAATGAGGCTCTTTGGAACATCAAGATCACCGGTTGGCGACACAAGGAAGCTGCTCTACCAAAGATGGCCTGACCCGGAAGAGGTCTAACAGCAGCGCACAAGCGCCAGTACTGCTACACTACGAGTAATATATCTACAGTACTCGAGTACGAGTACAGTATCACGGTAGACAAAGCCACTACAGCTACTACCAGTATTGTAATACGATACTTGTACTGCAAAGTACTTCTCCAACACCCAGCCACCCCCGCCACTCTGACCAGGGAGAAAAATAACGTTACTCGAGCACAAGTGCGCTCCCACCCTCTCCCTTCCTTCCATCCTCCTCGAAGGGGGCAGGGGGGAAGGGAGGGGAAAAGTTATCGCAAAAACATGCGCACCCAAATCCGTAAATAGCCCCCTTGTTCCGCGCTTAACCATTACCCTACCCTACCCTACCCTACCCTACCCTAATAGACGTAACCTTGCTTGTTTTTTTTTGGTTTGCTTCTAGAAGCCCCGAGGTAGGATGATGGCCGGAGGGAAGGGGCTGCGGTGTGGGTGTGCAGGTGGGGGTGGGGGTGGTGGCTGATGCATGGGTCATAGGGTGTCACCCTGCTTTGGTTTTCTTGTGCTGGAGAAGTCTGGAGGGATAAGTTATGGGGTGTATGTATGGTGAAGTATGATATGGTGATAACACTCTCTCTTCCTCCTCTTCCTCTCCCACATCCAGCATCCAGTGATCTACTCGCTTAAACCGAGTCACCAATCAGTGACCAACCAAACAGTGTGGGAGTCATAAGATTCACCTCTTTTCTGGATGTCTTCTAGTGCTTCCCTGCTTTCTCCCGAATTAATGGTCCTTGTGGCCCTGGTCCTAGGCTGTTGCGGTCTATTCTAAGGTGCTCCTTACCCCTGGAAATTCTGCGGTGGCAATAGAGTAGCATGGGAGGAGGGTATTATAGGTGAAGATTGAGGCTTGGAGTTGATTTTCGTGTTGACGGTGATTTCCAGTGCCGTGGCGGGAAATAAAAAAAAGCATGAGTGATTCTCTGTGATTGGTGGTGTCCAAGTGACGGGGTATGATATGATATTCCTTGCGCAGGTGAGTAGATTAAGAAAGGCGAAATATTACTGAGAATGCTTAGTTAGGGTATGATATCCCATGAGACAACTCATTTGTTGGCTTTTTTTCTCCTTTCCCTTTGGGCACTGGTTGACAACTGGGAGGATTTAGCTTCGAGAAAAACGAGTGACATTATATGAATGTGGTAGCACTTCTCGCAATGGATTTTATCAGGATAATCGAACAACGCGCAACGGAGTTGAGAATTCCCTACTTTTTTTTTGGGGGGGGGAGGACGCGGCAGAGGGGAGTTTCCCAGTCCCTCTAAGGGCATAAGAAAGGGGGGGAGAAAAACACCAGACCAAACAAGAGGACGCCACTCCAAGGGTTTAAGATTAATTAGAGTGATAGCTCGTGACCCCTGTGATTAGGAAGGGTGAAAGCTGAGCCAACAGGTTACTCGCAGTGGGAGATGTACATATGGCGGTTAGCGCTGGCGGGGAGCACGAGAACTGCTACTATGATACTATGATATAAGTCTGTGTTGGAATATTGGGAGCGTGGAAGGGGGGGGCTTGTAAAGGAGTTTGTGCATAGGGTTTGTGGTGGGAAAGCGCGCAAGAGCTGAAGTGTCATATCATAGGTGTGAACAGGACGCTGAGGGGCGGGGAAGGGGGGGAAATATAAGAAATGGCCAAAGAATTGGGGGGAAAGGGGGAGCGCCTATCATAGGCTCCAGTGGTTCTACGTGGGTAGGTAGTGTTCCCCCCGTCACTTATGCGAGTGATTGTACATGACACCACCCGTGAAATCTTGACCTGGATGGATCCACGCCTACATATTCGAGGATGTATCGGTCTCGCACTAGATGAGCTGGGATACATGAAGCCTGCGCGTTGCTAGACAGGTTTTTTTTTTTTCATGTTGCTGCTAAGGTTACCTGTCACATCCAGCTTGGACGTCGAAGGCAGTGTATGAAGGTGGCTGTCATGAATCGTGAATATTGTGGCATGGCGCTCTTCTGTGTGATAGTACACTTCCCAATACACGAGTAACTGGTGGTGCATCTGTAGTTAGCGAGACCTCCAAATCCTGTCTTGCTCACTGGTGAGCTTACATTCCCTCATTGCTGGTGTTCTGGCTGCGATTATGCATGCACAGGGGGTTTTGTCGTTAGATATTGGTGGTCTGTGCTTATAATTTCGCTTCTCCTAGGGATGTATCTGTTCCCATAATGAGTTTAGTTTTCAATATTATAATGTCTTTAACCTCGGGCAGAAGTGGTCAAAGAGCAACCGTGGGTGGGATGAGCATTGGTTTGAAGGTATGATATTACCTTACAAACGCTGGCGCGCCAAACACCTCCAAAGATGCCAAGATCAGATCAACCCCCGTCGCAATTAGCGGTAGCTCGGGAGTTCAATTCCCCTCATGGTGAGTTATTGGTATGCATGGAACAATCGGTCACGTAGGGAAGGAGGATCAACGTGACTTGACCAGAGTTCAAAATAAAATGAATTGGTTCTCACCCGTTTGGTAATACCAAGTGCAATTCCCAGATACTCTCATCATTGGTGGTCTCGTAACCGGTGGGCTAATAGCTTTTTCTCAAAAAATTTAGTTGCGATTAGCGAACGGTTAGAGGTGGTAATAAAATTTTTTTAAAAAAAGACTTGGATACGTGTTTACTCTTCATAATAATAATTTTATAATATTATGTCTATTTCGGGGGCTTTTTCATTCACTCTAATGTGAACAGCTAGCTATACCTGCCCTGTACTCACTCACCAGCCCAATGTCTCTGACAAGGCCTTCGGCAGTGTGTATCTCAGCGATACACAAATCTTCCGAGATCCTTTCCCGTGCCGAACCTAGTGTACATTTTTTTCCCTCGCTGTACCGACCTCCTATTGCCGAAGCTTCGAAAAAGAGAATCAGCATGCAGGCAGCAAGCTGTACGATATTGTTTTCTCCCTCACGCTCACCATCTGCTTCCGGCCCCCCCGCACCCTCCGGAATATAGCCAGCACCAGAATGCTGTATAGCGCAGCTAGTAGATTAACACAAACCTTTGTAGCCATGCATACAAATTAGAGGGCAGTATGTATGAAGCAATGGACATAACTTTTCGCCGGCGGATGCCAGCGCTGAATCGAGTATTTCTTTTTCGGCCAGGAGGATTCCTTCACGTGTAGGGCCCTGGATACGATGGCCTTTTTCTATTTACCTCCCACTGTATTCTTGCAACTACCTTGAAGGTTTCCCCTCGTTGTTGGACCAACTTTTATTTTCCCCTGAATCAGTTGAGGAGGGGGGGGGGCGGTGTTGTGATGATGTTGGGACGGTATTCTGTGGAAGTGCGGCGCCGAGCGGTATAGAGTGGAAGCTTGAGCAATTGAGTGGTGTTTTGGGTATTAGAAAATTATAGAATGGGTGGGTGGTCTGAAGCAATAAACCTTCAAGCAGTGTAGAGTAATTTCGTAGGGGAGATCTGGTAGTTTGGTGGGTCCCTAGCACATTTAGGGAAAAGTAGCTTGTTTCTAGAGTATATGAAAAGTGCAAGGGACATAGGAGGGGTTAAGCAGATAGTGCGTGCCTATTTTGCCAGTGGATTGAATGGAAAGTGTAATGGGATAGCAATGAGATATAGTGGTGGGGTGGATGTATAGGCAGTTGTTAGGACTTTCAAGTTAGACTTTTCTTTACCTGGATTTTTTTAGGGAAATTGGAAAAAAAGGGTATTGGTACAATCTTTATGTAGGGTAGTGTTAGATTGAATACTATTAGATGTACTATGACACGATTAGAGGAGGATAATTAGGGAATTTTAGAGGATTGACAGGTATGATATATTTACTACATCTCAATTCCGCCAAAGATGCATGGATTTACCTCAAGGAGCCCTGCTATGAACATTCAAGTTATCATCATCATATAGCAGCAGACACTAGATCAGCAGAGGAGGTAAAGCCACTCATAGGGAGGGGAGTACCGATTCATTATTGGGAGCTGATGCCAGACTATTTGTTCGAAGGATTAGAGAGGATATGTCCAGGGAGGTTGAACCTGCTATCAATGCAAAGAGTATGATACTAAATATCAATTGATAATCCATATTTCACCCATTTCATTCCATCTGTCATAAAAAGTTTTCTGCAGCTCCAGGTCTATCAGAGTTTATATGGGATTTGATGTCGAGACGTGGTGTGCGGGAACACAGGCGCCATTGTCATGCTTGCCGATCATTTCTGTCACTAAACTGTATGTCCCTACACCTTACGGGTAAAGTACAAGTACTAGTCCAGCAGACCCACCCCAAGTCTCACGCCAAATTTCAACGCTAGTCCTAAAACAATATTAGACCATGCCTAATTAGGAAGTATCTTGGTCGGCTATTCAGCAACAGCCTTTTTTTCCCCACTCTTTACTGTCCTTCCCACCTTGAAGGCCTCTCCCGCACCAACCAGAAGATGAAAAGAAAAACTTGCTCTGCTAGCACGTCCCGGAAACACCCTACAGAGGGTACTTGTTTTAAAAATTCTATTTATGAGTATTGTCGTCGCAAGTTGAAATATCCGTCGATCATCGGTGTCATGAGGGTAGGTTCTAGGGTGCCGGAACTATACTTGAGCACAGTTCCTTGACATGTCCAAGCGTTGCTACTACTACTGCATTCTACTCTACTGTACTGTACAGTACCTCGAAGAGATATTTTCCGTGGGTCTGTAACACAAAGAGAAGCTATTAAATTACAAATATTTCTTGCTGAAACATCTAGTTATTGTAACGGGTGTGTCGAGATTTGTAAAAAAAAAAAAAAGGTTGCAATTCAGGAGCCCGTATGAACTTCCGAAACTGGAGGGTTTTCTAAATAAATGACTTTTTTTTTTCTATCCTGGCACTTGAGACTGGAATTCCCGAGTTTATAGCAGGGGATTCCAGGGTCCCTCAATTGTGCAGGTGAGTACCGTATGATAGTAAAAAATATGGATCCCTAAGATTCTTTGCTATTGCACCAGAATGTACTTGAATGATCCGGCGGGAATCCATGAGGGGTTCAACACAGTCAACTCATGTTCGCCTTTCTCACCCATTCTCGTGCGGTTTAGTTATTTTTGGGATGGGCTGTGTGCTAGTACAAGTACAGTACTATACCCTTAATCTAACCGTGGCAGAGGACTAAGCGGAGAAAATTGCGGAGCCGAAAGCTTCAGAGACTATGGTATCATAGTTCCGCCCTTGGAGTCCTCAACAATATGGTGCGAAACCACGGTTATCGAATTGGATATCATAATTATAAATAATCTCGGCAACCCTCTCCGGGAACGCATACCCTTAACATGCGCCCAGGTCAACACCCGAGTACGGTGCGCCGGGCTCCGGACGGGATTTATGATATGTAGAGATAAATCAAACTCTGATATTCTCTCCATTACAATATTATAGCAAATCTGCTTGACCCCGGCCGCGAGTCGGCCATTCCTTCGCCCTTTCAGTCAATGCGCGGGCGGCCGACATGCCAGCCGGAAAGTATGCATACATACAAGATCCATCTTCTGCTCCCCCCCCCCCAGCTCAGAGCAGAGGTAGTGGACCCATCGGCACAGTACCGAGTTATCATCGCCCTACTGTACATTCCGGGGAGGCTTGTGGCGCCCGTGGTAGGCAAACCGTCCCCCCCTCCGCGATAGCGGCGAAAAAAAAAAAGCACACCTACGTAAAATGGGTATCCCATCGTCAACTCAACAACATGAGCACAAAAAGCCCGAGTGACTACTTCATGAGCCGGCCAGCCAGTCAACAAGTGTCCGGCAGGAACCGGGATCGGGGGGGGGTACCGTACTGTAAGCTTGCGGTGCGGGGGCCGGAGCGTGAGCAAGCACTATGGCACAATACGGGCGCTATGCCAATTGCTGACAGATAAGAAGTGAGAAAGGCTCAATGGGGCGGACCGCTTTCTCGTGTTCCCAAGTAGGTACCGGTATGATATGTGATTATTCGAGTGAGAGGTTATGTCGGCGGGGTCGAAGGCTGTGTAGTGCAGTAGGATACCACACACATAATCCTATCATACCGGTATTGGTGTGATACTAACCCCTGGAGGGCATTTGTCATCATGGGTGTTGATTGGGTATTGTTTGATTCTTGAATACTGTACGAGTACTTGTACGAGTACTTAAGTTATCATACAACAAGCCTTACTAGGAAAGGCAGCTCCAACGTCCTATATCATAGCGCGAGGTTCAATTATTCTAGTTTCTGGAGTATTAGTATTTTGGCGAAGTAGAATAATAGTATTGAATTGTTCACTATGGGATAGTGGTTAGCGCGAACTACTCTTGCGACTGGGCTAAACAGTGGGAAGTGCTCTTCGTAGGAAAGTACTGTAACCAAACAACAGGATTCTAAAGAGGTGCGAACTATTAGCGACGATTTAGTACTAGTACGAGTACATGCGCATTTATTTCAAACTCTTGCAAAGAAAGAGACCCCTGGAACCGGGATTATGAACGTGTGTAACTTTGATAGTCATACTATAACTACTTGTAGTACAGTACTCGAGGACCGGTAGATAGGGGCAAAGGGGAAGCAAAGCAAAGCAAACGACAGTCTTCCGCCAAAGCAAAAGCTTGATTTCACGACTTACAGGCGCATGCAGTTGAGGGGAAGGAGAAAGTTTTACCTGCCCCACATCTGATCACTGCCAATGGCGGGGAATTACGGTACTGTGAAGTGCTCGAGTACCGCACTGCACTCATACAGTACTTTCTAGCCGGTAAAGTAGCTATTCTTAAAACCGGTACAGTATTTACGAGAGTCGCTGGCTGGCAACGGGTTTGAGGATGTGTTAGCCTTTTGCACTTTTCTGTAAGGCTTAGGGGTACCGGTATCCTAAGAGGCGGAGGTAACAAAGCTGTACGCTAGGTATCATATAACATTGGCGGCTTGTGGAACAGGGGAGGGCAAAAGGGAGGGAAAGAAGAGGGAAAAAGAGAGAAAAAGGAGAGAGGATGGACATATTATCGTATGCTATCACAGTACTCGAGTACAAGTAGAGTACTGGCCAGTATGGTATCCTTTAACCCGCGATATTGTTTAAATATGGTGGCGCGTGTTCGTTTGATCTGAGATAAACCCGTACCGGTGCCATACCTGCGATGTACGAGTACGGTACTCGAGTATAGTATCATACAGAGCATCTTTTCTCTCTTTCTCTTTCCAGCGCAACTTGCATACCGGGAATTCATGGGATCTCCCGTTCCCCTCACACCCCATATTTAGGCTGTCGAACGAAACAGGGGAGTTGAAACGGGCCAAAACAGATACGCCCCTGAACGCAAAAAGGCCACACCCCGCCTGCCACTTGCAATCGGCAGAACAGCTGGTTGTTCCGGGAAAGTTAATGAGTGAGTGAGTTAGTGGGTGAATGCGGGTGCTCCAGCGGGGGATTTTTCCTGTGATATGATTCTGCACTTGGAGGAAACGACACGGGAGGGGAAGGGGGAGGGACAGGAGTACCGTGATTTCCGTGACTTCTTCTCGCACCGCCTGCGGCAAAAATACGCATAAAGCAGAAGATATATATTAATATCACCATGGAAGCATGATGAGAAAAGCAATAAATAATCACACATTGTCACGTACCGTACCGTGATGAACATGCGCATCGCATGGCAGTTAGTTTTTTCCTCTCTCTCCGCCGCGATGGAGGCGAAAAGAGAAGGATGAAAATGAAAGGCAAAAGTGAGGTACCGTATCCTACCGATAAATCGACCCTGTGTGCATGTGTACTCGAGTAAACTTTGTGCCTGTTCCTGAGTGTGACAGGGTACAGGCACTTTGTACTCGTACTGTAAACTCGTACCTTGCAGCGAGAGCAGAGCCAGGATGGCAAGGCAATACTGTAAGTCAAGCTCTGCAGTTACACAACATTTCTCAAATGCACCCTAAAGCCAATCCAGATCCTTCCCGTTTTCGTTTCCCCTTCCACTCCTGCTTCCTCTGCTTCACCATCTCTTACAAGTATAGTACAATACCCCTCAAGCAACCACCCCCCCTCTACTCCTTTCCCCCTCCCTCCCGTTCTTTCTCTCACACTCTGCCCAAATGCTCTGGCAGTCTTTGTAGCGGATTTTCTCCGTTCCTGACCGAAAGGAAGAAAAAAGATCCCCTCCCCCCCCCGGTACACTCCTTTGACACTGAGCTAAACTAGACACTCCCTTTCGAGTCCTATCGGGTCCCTTCCTTCTGTACAGACACATTCTCTCCAATATCTCTTGGGGTGGGAAGAAGACAACCTTCGTCCCTTTTTTCTTTTCTGTCGTTCGAACCGTGCCTGGGTGTCCGGTTCTGTATTTTTTTTCCTTTTCTCTTTTTCTTCTCTATCGTTCTTTTTGTGCGAGTATTTTGTCCCGAACTGCGTTTGCAGTGCAGGTTCCCGTCCCCTAAGGCAAAGAAAGGCAATACGGTAATTATCGTGGAAGGGCTTAAAAAAGGGAAAGCAAACAATATTTTTCCTTGCGTGTTTGTGTTAGAAAGGGAGAGGGTTGAAGAATAACTACCCACCACTGTCCTGATACATCTTTTCACATCTTTTCGTTTCTCCTGCGGGACTTCTGATCCTGCGCTTTTTGAAAGCGTTCTCTGTCTATCGGCCTGGGATCAGACCATTACTTTTTTTTTCCCCTTGTTTAAACGTCGACATATATCGCTGGAAAATTCAAAGCAATTTCGATTGTCAGTTGATACGTTCAAATCCTCAGGACAATGCCTCACCCATTCGCGAGGATAATAGGTGGTGGGGGGCCAGAAGAACAGGAGCAGCAACAGCGAACGGGTGGGATAAGAGGATGGTTGAGCGGTGGGAGGAGGGGTAATGTTGGGGCACTAGGGGCATCTACGCATACGGCAATGCCAGGGCAAGAAATGCGCTCGGTGAACTCGAATATCATCTCGCCTACCCCACCGGTAGCAAGTCAGCAGCGACGTGCTTCGATCTTGCCTCTTGCGTCACCGTTATCGAGGAATAACACTATGGGATATAATGCAATGGGGTTTTATGCCCCTCAACATACGATTCAGGCTCCTATGCAGCCTATAATCGAGAGGCCGGAACCCGCCATGCAAAGGGATAACGTTGGGATGTCTGTCAATACAGCTGCGCAGCCGGCTGGGCAGTCGGATGACCCGCGGACGCCATTGATAAACTTGGAGGCTCAGGGGCTAGTGACGCGCGGGGGAAAGTGGTTTTGGAAGAGGGAGTCGTGGAAAGGGCTGCAGTCAAAGTTAGCTGCGGTCCTTGTATCAGGGCTGTTCCTTGCGATTACTTTGGCAACTTGTGAGTATTTAATTCACGCCGTGATTCCATATTATAATTATCCTTTGTTTCAATGGCTGATGGAATTCGGAAAGACCTTGGACTTGCCTTGACCCCCGATCTGAACCTGCGTCAAGTGTGGCATGTGCTCTTGATATTAATCATCCTTGTTGCAACAACGTTCTTCTGTCACGCATTGGTTAGACTGTGTATCGTGGCGACAAACCCTGGACGTTTCCAACGTCTTTCCCAAAACTTCACCCGCATCCCGTCCGTAGCTGGACCAGGTGGATATGCAAACCCACGGGAGCCGATCCGGATACACACTCCGTATGGCGCAGATGACCAAGGTCTTGCTGATCCTACCAAGTCCCCACCACCAGTATATGGGCTTTGGCGATGCTCGTATGTTGCCCTTGTTTGCAATCTAGGCCCCCGCTGTATCCTTCTAACAATTACAGTGTGAGAGTGAACCCGGACCAATTCTACTGGGTTAGAAGGACTAGTGCAGGCGCACCGACGACCTCCGCCCATGGGTATAGTGATCGAAACAGCAGGACAACTCCCCGTCCCCCGTCATATGCATCTGACGATGGGGTAACCTACGCTCTTGCTCCACATCAACTACGCCGCGACCCGCCTCTATCCCCGCACCCATCAGGAGCAAACCGGATGCGGTGAATAGCATGTAACTATCAGATGCGCTCTCTCTTCTTTCTCACTTTGTAAAATTACCTTTATACCCCCGTTTTTGTCAATACTTTTTTCCTGCTTCCACTTTTGTTCGCTCTCTAGGGGATTATGGTATGGGTGTTTAGGGGTGTTTGGTATTTTTTGGCAGATTTTTTACTCTAGTTTACCCCCGACCTGGATATATGAAGGCGGGTGGATGGGTGGATGGGTGGATGGGATACTTGGAGGCAGAAGGATTCATGCGGCGGGATGGAGAGAATATTTGCTTCGTTTCTTGGTCACAACCGGATTACTTTTAGCTAGCTGGTTAGTTTGGTTCTCGCGGGGAATCGGAAATTACATGACGGTGTCTATGATGCCCAGTTGGGGTGGGGGTGCGGTTTCCAGGTTGGCACCGTTTGTTTGGCGGTTTGGGCATAGTATCGTACAGCATTATGGAGTCGCCAGTTAGCGGCGGGAAAAAAGGGAGCTAAATCATGGAATCTCACCTACTGTCCCAGCATCACCAGTGTGCTGTAATTCTTGTTTGAAGTTGTACTTCTTGCTCCATTGATGCTCTACTGGGGGGGGCATAGGGCCCTATTTATGCTACAGGAGAGCACACTACAATCACCCATGACATGCGCTTCGCGCAAGAGAAAAGAAAAAATAAACGACAACAATACTATATAATGTAGTAGTAAAGAGAAAGGAAACATGAGCAAGGAAACTAAACTAGTACCACGATAGAGTTTCCAAGTAATCTCTGCTCTAGTCAACCACATAATGAGCTCAATCACTTAGTGAATCCATATCAAAATATTCTGTCATAGTCAATGACAAAACCGATGCATATTTGGAAGTCATATTACAACACAGTGGGGTATGCAGGATGCGGCGTGCGGTATTCGCGGCCGCCCTCCCACAATATATGCCACTGCTGTTGCACGCGAGGGGGCGAAGTGCTGTCTGCACCGGCACGTTAGATAATCGTCCAAGTGCCCAAGATTTCGCATTGCCTATCACAGTTCTGGGAAATATTCCCATTGGCCGCCCATTACGGTACTATTACGAACCATGGAAAGCTCCACACTGTGTTTCCAAACCGAGAACCACTTTTTCGTCTATATATACACTTGATGGTATCTACTTTTTTTGTCCCGCAGCTACACGAGATTCGTGATCGTGTTTGGGATTCCGCGGATGTGTTGCCTCTCAAGTTGCGGGGTGGTGAGGTTTCCCAATACTACGGAAGCGGACTCGGAATGGTGCTGTGCTGGTAATCGTGGGTTATGTTATTCCTTTCATGGCGGGTATTCTGCTATGCCCCAGGTATGTGTGTGGTGGTGGTGTTCGCACGCGTCGCACGAGTATCGCACCGCACCGCACTGTATTATACGGTGCTATATATATTACTGTGAAATCTCGGGGTGAACCCGGCGATATGTTGTTCACTTCAGTTGCCCGCCCTGGTGAGGTCAGTACAGTACCATATTAATATCTTTTTGGTTTGTTTTTCTACCCGTCTTTTAGAGGGGTTGAACAACCAACCCCCTTTTGCCGCGCGGGGGGTTGTTTTTTTTCTTTCTCTTCTCCTTCCCCAGAGAGGGAGACTTGGACTTCCTAATACCGTTCGGGTATTCGAGATTTGGCGGTACTGTGGACTGCTGATCTTGGCCAGGTTTTCCCGGGGTGGTATCATACTGTACTATATAGCACGGGATTGAAGGGGCCGGTAGAGTGCAAGTACACTGTATGTGGGTGGTGATGCCACTCGTGCAATCGTCAGATAAGAGCCATTCCTTCCTCTTCCAAGGGTATTCACAGTGCATCACTCGGTGATACTCTGCCGAAATGTGTTGTAATTCTTGATTGAAGTTGTACTTCTTGCTTGATTGATGCTCTACTGGGGGGCTATGAGGCCCTACTTATGCTACTTGAGAGCATGCTACAACCGCCTATGGTATACCGGTATACCTAGTGTGAGGAAAAAGAAGAATAATAATATAACATAGCCTAGTGGTAAAGAGAAAGGAAACGTGAGCGAGATAACCAAACTAGTACTGTGATAGAGTTTCTGAGGAAGCTCTGTAGTAGTCAACTGTGTAATGAGCTCAATCACATAATGAACCCATATTAAAATATTCTGTCCTAGTCAATGACAAAACCAATGCATATTTGGAAGTCATATTACAACAAAATGTGGTATCATAGTGTTAAAACTTTCCTTGTTAAAATTTCCTTGTTTGGATGAGTAATGTCTCATGGTGTCATCCTCTCTTCTTCGTCTTCTTCTCTTCTTTTAGGGTGGGGGTTGGGGTGTGGTGGATGCAGTAAGTTGTGGCTGTACCGATTTATTGTTTCCAGGGTTAGGAAATTCCCCCCGAGTCGTCGAGTTATGAAACAGATTTGTTTTGCGGTGGGTGGTGTGATGAGTCACATTGGAGGAGGGAGCACAGCCGCATTCGCAAAGTTCTCATACCCTCCCTTATATGATACGTCAAGAACAGTACTAATTGACAACAAGAGAATAAGAGCCTGCTAAATGACTGTTTTCAGATATGCCTCTGGGGGTATTGTAAGCTATTATCACAATTTGTTTTGTCCGATTATAGGAGGGGGGGGGGGGGGTTAGCAATGCGCTTCCAAGGGCCGGGGGTACTCTGAAGGGTAGGAGAACTTCACGAATGCGGCTGTACTAGCACAGTACAGTACTCGTACAGTAAGATATGCAGGTATGTATCATAGATGGTATGATCGATCGTGAGGAAGTTGACCAATTCTCGGCCGCCCTCCTAAGAAAATTGAAATATCACGGAAGATCCCACCCCATAGTCTTGCACCAAGAGCGCTCCGGCGACTCCCCCCAATTCGTCTGGAGAAAAGGAAGGGCAAAAAAGTACTTCCCTTCCCGCAAGGGAGGCTATCGTACCTTGCTCACCCTGGTTTATCCAATCATTTCCTGCACTTCCGATCAGTCTCACTGAATAAAACAGCAGATTTGGGTACGCACATGATCTGTATGTTGATACAAGTTTTTCTTTTCTTTCATACTTTTTTGTCTTTAAACTGCGTTTTCCACTTCTGCCAAAAATGGCACTTTTCATGTTTTGTGGTGGTGAACATTTATTCCCGTGTGGACGGTCTTCAAACCTGCAGGACAAACCGCAAGATGGGCTTTTTATATCGCAGCAATGATGTGTTGGTGGTGCACTTAGCTCGGGTGCCTGGAATTGCAATTTTCTCGAGCGGAAGGTCGCTGATTTACAATATGATACCACATCCAGTTTCCCTCCAGATCACATCTCGATAGCAAGGGTTTTTTTTTTTTTTTTTTTGAAGGACGGTAGGCAGAGGGTCGTCACAAGCAGGTGGTGGTGGTGGTAAAGATGGCTGTAAATTCGGATTGTTCAACAATGAATCAACATTGTCTTTTGAGATGGGTCGTTTGCCGCGATCGCTAACTGAGCGAAACAAAGTTATCGCTTCTCGCCCGCCGGAGCCGCGAGTATACTCGTATAATATTATTATGATAAATTTACAGCACCACACAGTAAATTTAGGGCCACTTTACCCGCTCACCATTTTCGCGTCCCCGGCCTCCGTAAGCGCCGCGCTCGGCCCCGCAGTGCCGGTTCGTCCGTCTGTTGTCCCGCGTCCGTATCGGTGTGTCTACTGATCGGGGGTATCGTTGTTCCTGGTGCCGCGTCACGTGATGCGGTTGGCTTTGGTTGGTGTGGGGGGAAGCATGGTGCACCGATATCATGGTTTCACTTGGAGGGTTTATTCGGTGTGGAGGGGAAATTTACACTCCTTTTCTTCGTTGCGGTGTGTACTCGTACTGCATTGCACTGGGTCAAGATGGACGGCGTAATAGTGGTATCAGGATTGCGTTCCCAGAAGCAAGCCATCATCGCATTCCCGCTACCCGTAAGCCCATGCTCCGCTTGACCTAAACTCTAATGGTACGCCGAGTACCAGCACCATACTCGAGCACTGTACAGTACGGGTATTAACTAGTCAAATTGAGTTATCGTCCTGGCGAATTTCGATCCATTCCGACAAGCGCGGGGTTGATAGCGCTTAACAAAGGATCTTGAGGTTTTCCTGGCAGGTGTTGGAGCGACCTTCCTGTTCCTTTTCCCGCAAGAACTCGGCTTTTCCGGGTGGGGCTTTTGTCCCAAAACAGATGCTAGAATCCTGCACGGAGATATCCGATTCGAAGAGTCCGCTTAACAGGAGTGCAGTGGGAGTGATATGGCAGTATGGGTACTGTACCGAGGCCTAAGGTGAGAAAAAAGCAAGGCTCAAGTCATCGGGCCGGCGAATCTACAAGCCCATCAGATCACATTGAACCCCCCCCTGCACAAAAGAAACTCGCAAAGGTGCGTAAGTGGCACTACCTGTTCCTAACGAGAACGAGTAAATAATTGTTCCGACCCCCCAATCGGGCCATTTCGTGCTGGGATCAATTTTTTTTTGGTATCATACCATTCATTACCCTTCTTTCCTGGGCGGCGTACTTTTTCCTCGCCTCGGTGGGGAAAAAAAGTTACTGCACTCTTGGCTTTCAGGGTGAATTTTGTGCCGTGTTGGGGATGGACAGACGGGGAAGTTACTGGGGTGGATGCAAGATTAGGGTTTTTTGGGGGGGGGACTTGTTTGATTTATAGATTGTTCTTGAAGGAGAGGGGAGGGGGAGTCTCACAGAGTATAAGATGGGAGGGTGGCTCGTTCAGAAACCTTTCTCCATAGCCCTAGGATAATAAAGATTTCAGCTTTGGTTTCCGTTTCAAAGACGAAATATCTCGAGTGCTTCACTATGACCCACGCGGACAATTCGACAGCCCTGACTACGACTGGGGAGATGGAGGATAGTCGAGCATCCTCGGATACGAACGTTGGGATCAAGACATGGCGACCGAGTAATCGAATGTACGTCGTCTTCTTGACTATGTGTATTATCACATTGGCTGCCGCGTTGGATGCTACTTCTCTCTCTGTAGCTTTACCCGTATGCTCCTTCTCCTTCATAATATCATACAGACACGATACTAACAACCCTCCCCAGATGATGTCCCAAAAGCTCCACGGCACAGCAATAGAAGCCTTTTGGTCCGGCACCTCCTTCCTGATAACCTCCACAGTCTTCCAACCAAACTTCGCCTCCCTCTCCGACATCTTCGGCCGTCGGAGCCTAATCCTCGTAGCACTAGTCTTCTTCACCGTCGGCGCCATAGTCGCAGCCGTAGCAAACAACTTTACCGTAATCCTCGTCGGCCGGTCCATCCAGGGAGTCGGCGGTGGGGGGATAATCTCCCTCACGGAGATCATAGTAACGGACATTGTCCCGCTTCGCGAGCGAGGAAAGTACTTTGGCTTCTTATCCATGATGTGGGCTCTGGGTTCTGTCGGCGGTCCCCTCGTCGGGGGCGCCTTCGCGCAGGAGGCGTCGTGGAGGTGGATCTTTTGGATTAATCTTCCCTTCTGCGGCCTCGGGTTCGTGTTGATTCCGCTGTTCTTGAATCTCAACCATAGGACCACGTCTTTTGTGGAGAAGCTGAGGAGGGTGGATTGGCTTGGGTCTGTGCTGTTTGTGGCGTCCATGATGAGTCTGTTGATCCCCATTACTTGGGGGGGTGTCATGTATCCTTGGGATCATTGGAGGACTCTGGTCCCCTTGGTGCTTGGTGTTGTGGGATTGGCCGGGTTTGTCCTCTATGAGAAGTTTGTGGCTAAGGAGCCGTTGATTCGTTTGGGAGTTTTTGCCACCAGGACTGCTTTGGTGAATTATTTGGGGACCATTATGCATGGGATGATTGTGAGTTTGGAACCCGATGGTCGTTGGCAGGGAGTTACTGATTATTTCATCGCAGCTTTGGAGTTTACTATACTATCTCCCGTTATACTTTGAAGCTATCAAAGGCCTCGGCCCGATCATGGCCGGTGTAGCCGTCTTCCCAGAGACATTGTACGTGCTCTTCTTCACAACCCATCACTCACTGAGCTAACTTTTTTTCTTTTTTTCCACAGCACCGTTGCACCAGCATCTGTAGTAGTTGGTCTCCTAGTCTCCATAACTGGCCGCTTCCGCTGGGCCCTCTGGCTCGGCTGGATCCTGACGGTCCTGGGAATGGGCGTGCTCGTCCTCCTGGACGTGGACACCCCCACCGTAAGCTGGATATTCATAACCCTGGTCAGCGGCCTGGGTACCGGCATCCTCTTCCCAAGCATGGCCTACGCTATCCAAGCGTCAGCCACGGACGAAGACATGGCCTACGCCGTATCCATGTTCTCCTTCTTCCGCGCCTTCGGTCAAGCATTCGGCGTTGCCATCGGTGGCGTCATCTTCCAGAACGCGCTGAAGACGGAGATCGCGAAGCACGCGGTGCTCAGAGCGATGGCGGGAAAGTACGCCGCCGACGCAGTCGCCCTTGTACAGGTCATCAAGATGATGCCCAAGGGCATAGAAGGGAGGGAGGAGCTGCTGATCAGTTATGCCGCCGCGCTCAAGGTGGTCTGGAAAGCCATGATTGGGTTCGGCGTGGTTGGGTTGGTGACGAGTTTTGCTACTGAGGGGTTGAGTCTCGATCGGGAGCTCAAGACTGAGCACGGGCTGGTGGAGAAGAAGGCTGTTGGGGACTCGGAGAAGAGTAGTGGGGTTTAGGGTGGATATTATTATTATTATTATTATTATTGTTATTATTATTATTACTATTCCGGTGAGCATTTTGGGTCCTTGTACATGGTTGGGGAGCTTCGCTGTTTTTTCTTCTTTTCACTTGTAATTATTGGGTATTGGGTGATTTGGTTGGTTATAGACTGGATGGGCGGGGGGGGGGCTTGATACGAATATTTCTGCGGATAAATAAAATCTCCGCTCTCAAAGAATATGCATCACGAATAGCGGAGTATATGATATGTACCGATGATATGTGCTTCCTGGAGTGATTCGTGAGCGAAGGCGCATAGTCAAGAAACAAATTCATAGATGTTGACGACCACTGTTGCCTTAATGGTAACTATTCACACCCTTCTTATTTTTTTCGGGTTTTTTTCTTTCGAGAAGACACTGTTTGTGGTGTACAGTACAGTGCAATACAGTACAAGATGATCAACCATGAAGGGGTGGTTCGATGGCAGAATAACCAGCCCCGCAAATCAATTCGTGTTCATGCAGCATTCAGACATCATAGTTGTCACCACGGACCAGATGAAGCCTAATCTTCCTTTTTCATCTTCAGTCTTGTCATGTTTCTCTGCCACCCTGCCGATAGTAGATCTCGCCCCTAGGGACAGGGGAATGGCCCAGAGGCTGACGCCATGATATGCTACCGCTCAGTATTATATGATAGCAGGTCCGATTTACACTGCTCCCCTTATAGAGGAATGCCGAGACTTCACTCTCTCCCTGTTCTCACGGTGTCCAGGATTTCTCGACCCACCTGCTCCACGTGACAGGTAGTTCGGTGGTGACTCACTATGAAGGGAATTGCCCTCTTGTGCTCCTGCTGGTTGACATATCAACCACTGCGCCAGCAAGGTATGATAATATTATGATATTTCACGTAATGCTGCCGTGGGAATCGATTATTCACTCTGTCGGCAGTGAGTTTGGCACTTTTTTTTAATTTTAACTTTTTTTACGTGGGGTTTGTTATGACGATATTGCGCTATCGAATGCTAAATGTATTATAGGATAGGCGACAGAATCCATACATGTGCGAAGGAGCCATCGGGGCCGGAATATCAGCGATTAAAAAAAAAAAAAAGGGGGTGGCCAAATTTGGTCATGAGAAGGATAGAATATGGAGGGATCTATGGCGTACATATGCGCTGAATGCCGCGAGGCACTTATACATTGATAAGTTTGTATCATGTCATAGCCGAGGTGCGCTATGATACAATATGGTGTCAATCCCCATGACCTATGTATGATGGGTCCTGTTGGGGGGTGTTGTGTCCGACTTTCATATCATAGTTGGGCGTCACGAGTATTTCGATCACGGCATATCACTCCACTGACAAATTCCAATGCTGGCTATTTACTCGAAACACCCGTTTACAAACCCTCCAGTCTTGTAGATGGGCTGCATTATTTATATTACGTCTTGTTGGGCTGCTATGACTTTTTGAAGAAAAAGAAAAAAAAGAAAACATGAGAAAAGAAGAGTAGTGACATGTCCGTGTATGATATCATGGGGAATAATATTTAGAACTATGATATGAGAGATATTGTTTTTTGCGCGAACGGGGTTAGAATTAAGGGCTATCATACAATCTTCTGCAGCCAGCAGGATAGCAGTCTGATCTCGGCCGACGAAATGCTTTTTTTTTGAGGAAAATAAGACGTTTATCATCGTACTGCCACTTACAAAGTTTCATTACAAGATTAGCTGGATTGAATACTCTTGCGACCATAGCGAGAGACACTCACAAGAGCACTGCGGGTGTTCAATTGAGCCATTGCGTGGTGTTCTTCCCACTTCTCTGGAATCAGCCACTCCTAAGCCGATTGGAGTGGGCTGCACAACTTGCACAACTCGATGTATAATTCAAGCTTACAATGATGTTTTTGGGTATGGTAGTGAATTCAGGCAGGTATACAAGTTGCATAGAAGGATGTGAGTTGGATAAAAAAAAATTGTTGGACTCAGATAATGCACATTCTCATTTGAATTATGTGCCTAAGATTTTAGCTACATTAAATTATATGGTGTGATAACAGAAAACATGGATTTCTACGGTTGAAACCGCTATCACCTTGCTCATAATTTCCGGGAAATCGTTTGTGGAACTCACTTTTTTTGTGGGTCGATTTCCCGAATTCCCCCAGAGGTCCAATGACACAATATTGGTTTATTGTAGGCGGGACCATAGTACTGTGCATGAGGCCCACAAGATGCGAACCACGAAAACCACAGCAAATCCCCAAAGCAATTCACCTGACCAAGATCCAGATACTGTTAATGGGGTACCCGCAGCCCCATGTTTGGATTCATAAAATCATCCGCGGGGAGCACAGAGGAAAACAACTACTGCAACTCAAACCTCCCCCAAATCTCCAATTCCGGGTTTAACCCATTCTCTCCCCCCAATCGATCCATGCTCCTATCATAACCTCTATGTCCATGCGATACGCTTTCATCTGAGTAGAGTACAAAAAGAGCAACAGTGGTAATAAAAAAAGTCCTCTTCCCTTCATCATCACTGTGCCGCTTCAAACTAGAGGAAGAAAAAAGGGAGAAGAGAGAAAACAAGCGAAGCAAAATTCCAAAACCGTGACTCCCATGCCAAACCACCTTTTTTTGTTTTGAGGAAGAAAAAAAAGAAAGAAAACGAGAAAACGATTGAAGAAATGCCCCCAGTTGATTGAGAAAGAAAACTAAAATATAAAAGAGAAAAATCCTAGTTTATGGCCTAACGTATTGATTTGTTCCAGGGCTTAGGTGTGTTCTATTTTGTAGATCTGATTGGGTGAAAAGGGTGACGACCGAGACTAAAGTTGTAATGGAAAGCGAAGTGACAAAGGTGTAGATAGGAAGAACAAGAATAAGAATAAAAAGTTGGATAGAAAAAAGAGAAAAAGAAAAAGGGGTGCGAGCGAAAAACTGAGTACAATGGGGAAACCCTTTTCCAAAGTACAAAAAGGTGATTGGGATGAAAAAGTTATGATGGGATCCGATAGAAACGAAGGACACCAGGGGAAAAAAAGGGGAAAGGGAACTAAAACTTCTTTCCCTTCTTACTTTTCTTCTTCTTGCTCTTGCTTGGGAGGACGAGCGGGACGTCTACTAGCTCCCATTCCATATATCGAATCATGTATTCGTCAATGTGCACTGGTTCTCGATCAACCCGGTTCCAGCCGTCGCCGTAAATATCATAACCGAGACCTCTGTGGGTAACAACCTCTAGTTCCACAGTATTTCCTTGCGGTGTCATGGCGGCGTTACTAACGGGCGCCGATGGCTCCCTGGGTGTGGTTCCTGCAGTAGCAGTACCGGGCTCCCTTGGTGTTTGTGCTGGAGTGCTCCTTTCAGCAAAGTCGGCACCGTCGGCATCGACGACTTCCCTTTGCGCAACCTTGGCTGCTGCAACGTCCTCAACATCTTCGGCTGCCTCGAGCGCTTTCTCCATGTTGACCCCGGGGGCAACCACTGTTTGCGAATCGTCCACGCCATCTAGATCCTTGATAACTTCATCTCCGAGCATATCGCGGATTGTGAGTTTGTTGAAGTAGTCGGTTGTGAAATCGCCCTCTTGAATGACCACATCATCTAACATTCGCTTTTGGTTTGACTTCCGGAGAATATTTGACTCGATGGTGTATTCAGAGACGAAGCGGTAGATGTGGACGTCACGAGTTTGACCAATACGATGACATCGGTCTTGGCATTGCTTGTCCATCGCGGGATTCCAGTCTAAATCATAGAATATCACAGTATCTGCACCTGTTAAGTTGATACCAAGCCCACCGGAACGGGTGGATAGGATAAAGACGAGAATCCTTGTATCGTTATTAAATCGATCAGTTAATATTTGTCTCTGTTCAACCTTCGTAGCTCCATCAAGGCGGAGGTACCGATGACCGTGGATATTCAAAAATTGCTCGAGAATATCTAGAACCTTGGTCATTTGGGTAAAGATCAAAGCCCGATGTCCCCCGGCTTGCAACTGACGCAAGAGAAGGTCTAGACGTTGTAGCTTTCCGCAGTCATACTGAAGAAGTCGTTTATCCGGAAAAGCGATCGATAGCCGAACCCTTGCCTTATGGAAAGGATCCGATGGGAACAGATTCTCAGTTTGGATTTCCTGGATAAGCTCGACTCCTCGTGGCGATAGCGCTATAGGTGCCATATCAGTTGCAACAACAGCAGGGGTAATGCAACCGAACTTGTCAATCACGCTACCCATCGACTCAGTCCGGTCTTCAAGGGTTGGTATCATCGAACTGATGACCTCCGATCGATTAAGAAACCAGTCAGTTATCAATTTCCGATTCTTTGGCATTGGTTTCGAAGGCCCGACGCATACACTATCGGTGAACAATTTGACCAAATTCTTCCCAAAGAGGGGGCGGTACTGAGTGCGCAATCTGTTCAGGCGAACACAAGATTGGAGAGTTTCAACATGGGATACCTCAGCTTGATGTTCAAGATAGGCTGCATGCCCTCGAACAGTGGCGAAGTCTGGTTCTACTGGCTTTATATCTGCCGCCCTATCCTCGTAATACTTTTGAAGGAATTTCGTCGCTGTAAGCTTTGATATTTCGTCTGAATGCTGGGTTGAGAGGTGGTTGTTTTTGGCGGGCACAAGCCCACAAAATTCGAGGAAGCTTGTGCTAAAGAGCGGTTTAAATGGATCTTCCTTCAAGAGACGCCGCCTAACTAGTAGCTCCTTGACCTCATAATCGGCGACCACAGACTTTTGCATCGCGAAAGATGTGACGATCTGGCGAGTTTCAAATAGGTCTGGGTGGTTACAGACCTTGCGAAGTTGCATCAAACAATTAATGATGGAGAGATAGTTGCCTGATGCCAGTGTTTCGCGTGTTTTTGCCATCGACATAAATTCCTCGTAAAGATATCTTTGTCGCTTCGATAGCCTACAATAAACGATATGTTCGAATTTTGCTGGCATCTGCTTCTCTACGTCTGCCTTCAATCTGCGAAGAAGATAAGGCCTGAGGACACGATGGAGCTTCGTGACAGTATGTTTGGCTTCATCGTCCATACCTTCTCGGCCACCTTCAATAAGCTGGTCCACGGGATGCGCAAACCATTCTTGAAACTCCTTTAGGTTTGCAAATCCAGCAGGCATGGCACTCGAAGCTCCAGAAGGCATGAGAAAGTAGAGCAACGACCATAGCTCGATTAGGTTGTTCTGGAGAGGGGTTCCTGTAATCAACAAACGGGCCTCGGCTTTGAAGTTGAGAAGAGTTTGCCATCTCTGCGACCGGAAATTCTTGATATTATGTGCCTCATCCAAAATCAAATAATGCCAGTTGCGGCGTTTAAAAGTAACCTGATCTTGAAGGACAAGCTGGTAAGAAGTGATGCACACATGCCATAGGTTGTTGTCAAACCACCCCTTTCTCTTCTCAAGCCGTTGCTCACGGGATCCATAATAGGTTAAAATCTTGAACCCTGGTGCCCACTTTTTAAACTCCATCTCCCAATTAAGCATGACACTCGTTGGGACAACAATGAGATGCGGTCCCCAAACCTCCTTTTCGCACGCAAGGTGTGCTAAGAGTGCGATGGTCTGGATCGTTTTACTGTGACCCCAGTTAGCTACCAGAAAATCATCTTACAAATACATTGAATCGCAAGAACGTACCCAAGTCCCATCTCGTCGGCTAGGATACCGTTGGTGTGGTTATTGTAGAGCCCGGCGAGCCAATCGAGACCATAATGCTGGTACTCTCTCAAAGTCCCCCGGAGAAGAAACGGAATCGGAGTTTTGATATCTATATTTGGTTGAGGAGAGGTTTCTGGTGATGTTGTAAGCGATGAGGGGTGGCCGCTTTCTTTCAAATCAATCTGTGAATGGGAGAGCGATGTTGACGTTTCCACATCCATTGTATCTGAATGACCGTTGAGCATCGGTATTTCTAGAGCCTGGCCTCCAATAACCCTCGGCGCAGAGACATAGCTATCTCCGACTGTTTTACCCGGTGGGGATTTGTAAACAACAAGGCTCACTTCATCGATCCTATCTTCCTCCAGTAATTCATCGGCGGCGTTGAGTTTAGAGCCATTGATTTTAGAGCTCTTTGAGAGTGATTCTATTTGCATACTATCCGAAGATCTCTCGAGGCTCCGGTCTTTTTGCACAGGCTCCGTAAACTCGTTCTCATCCTCACTTTCAGGCTCCAGATCGCGAGAGCTAGCCCTTAACCCGTTCAAGTCCCCGTATAACCCTAGAAGCCCGGACCCAAACCCATTTTCACCCTCGGAATCGTCCTCGGAATCACCATCTTTACCACTCTCGCTATCATCCGTCTCATCCTCAGAATCCATGTCAACTGATTCGTCGCTATCATCCATGAGGATCTCATCAACTTCTTCAAGCTCAACTGCCTCAGTCTGGTTTTCGTCAACATCCATTCTAGCAGCGACATCTTCCGGATTCTCATCATCCGAGGGTACATCAGATGGTACAGGTGTTCTACCATCGAGCAACATCCCATCCTCAATATCCGATAGATCGTCCTCCTGGATAAGCCTTTTGCCTCCAAGTGAAGCTTGACTGGGGCCAAGACCTGCGTACTTTGCTTTCAGTTGCTCCACTGTAAGGCTCTCATCGTCATCTTCCACCTCTTCCTCATCAGAATCTGTAGTCGACATATTTGCCTCATCCAGTTCCACTTCCAATTCGGACATACTCTTGCTGTCGTCTTCTTCCTCCTCCTCTCCACCTTCCTCCCCATCATACTCCCCTTCTGCCATGTCTAGACCACCCTCGGATGCTGTCATAGAGTTATGACGGTCTCCCCGCCGAGCTTCGAGTAGCTGAGTCGAGTGCTCAAGCATTTGATTCAGGTGCTGTTTGCCTGCCAGTCGATGTTCCTCTTCTGCCCTCATTCTTCTGCGGTTTTCAACCTCCTATAAATTTGATTAGCTGCTGCTGTAACGGGTAAAGTTTTTTACATAAATGGGTGCACATCTTTCTCTATGGCAGGGCAATCTGGAGTTCCGTGTACGTGGCGCTTGCTAGAATGAGGGTGGAAATACCTTCAATACTTCCTCCCACTTCCGACGTAGCTGAGAAATTTGTTCTCTATATATCCTCCGGTTCTCAAAAAACTCCTCTTGCTCGATCTCCTCTTTTGTCAAAGGTCTTCTTCTCTTGATTTCTGCCATTATCAATGCATTCCGCCTTTTCATTATCTCAATATGCTCCTTTCGTTCTCTCACCAACAGTCGTTGCAGATACAGAGCATGTGCAACCAAATGATCTTGGTGTGAATAAAGTTGAGGTGGCTCAGGCACTTTCTCGGGGAGATACAGTGAACATTGGTCGGGTCTAAGAAGTCCATTAATAGCAGCATCTTCAATTTTATTTCGTACTGCAGCTTCCTCTCGTGCCTCCTCTTCTGCGGCTGCCAGCAGGGCTGGATTCTTAGATATATCATCATGATCCAGGAAATCTTCAAAAGAATCAAATTCCCTCTGGGCGGGGATATGCGAAGGATGTGTTATTATTGGTTTGGGTATACTGAATTTCAATTTAATCTTTGGGGCTCTGAAGTTTGGATCGACATCCAACTCTCCATCTGACTCGAACTCAAACCCTCTATCAATCCCATTCCTTCCAGCTGTCGCTGACTCCGGCTTGACCTGAACCCCATTGATAATTTCTTCCGTTGTGGGAGCACTTCTGCCAGCTGTACGGGCACTTTTTCTTATGCCGGCTACTGGACTCTTCTTGGGGGGAGCGGACGACTTTGCCGGAGTAACCTTCGGAGTAGCCTTCGGGGTAGCTTTCGGAGCGGACTTTTGCCCTGATACTGACTTCGCAGGTGTTGACTTCTTAATGGGCGTATCCTTCGGGGCCGGAGGCTTCTTAGGACTGACTCTAGAATTGCGACCAGAAGATTTTGGGATGGGGGTTGTCGGCCTAGCTCTCCCACTCGTCTGGGACTTGTTTTGTGTTGTCGCGCTACGCGACCGAGAGCCGTTAGCAACAGGAGCAGAAGTCAAGAGAGCATTTTTCTTCTGCTCCGACTGTCGCTGCGAAGATCTTGTAGGACGCGTCGGGGTTGTGCCATTCTTTAGAAAGGGTTGTAGCTCTCGGGGAATTGGGTTTGTTCGACCAGATTTGCGCCGACCGTCTTCTCCTATGAATGAAGTTGGTGTTTGTGTAGTTGCACTCTTCCATGGTGGTGAGTCGTCTAATTTCCTTTTCTTGGAAGGGGGTTTCTTGATATCAGAACCCCCCTCCAGATTTAGGGAGGAAGCCTGTGGCTCCGGCGTTGTGTGTCCGTTCTCTGCAAACATGGTCAGAATAAAAGTAGATGACGGTAAAGAACCAGAAAAACAGACCAGGCGAGCCTGATGGTCCGGGACGTTTTCGCGTATTGCTTCGCATACAAGTAAGGATGGTGGGGTTCGGAAGCTAAAACTCGTACTGGGCGTCCGGGATAGGGATAAACATGGGAAATTTTGGTGGTCAATAAATAGTCACAATCAGAGGAACCTGTGTACGAAGTCTCAAGGGGCGGAGGGCTCTGGTTGTCGAGATAATGGATGAAAAAGGAGAGTACACGGCGATGGGCAGCTCTTTCGACTGATGACACCGTTGGGTCTGACGAGGCGATAATTTTGCTGCTGCAGTTGGTTGCGAGTTCAAAGCCGGGTCGCGGCTGTGTTTTTCTTTTTTTTTTTCGCCTTTCTCCCTTCATTGTTGCCAAAGTCTAGGGTTTCCATTTTGCCCTAAACGAGTTTAGGGGGGGGTTCACGGATTACCAAAGTTGGATCATTTAGCCCTCTTTAAGCCATTAACTTGCATGGTTCCGGATCAACCCTAATATAACCTAACCCATCGGTGGTAACCCAACACCCTTGTACCCCAGCTGCGAAACTATACTTACAATCCAATTTAACACTCGAGTATCATACACCAAATCTCTCCTCCAAGCCCCACATCATCTTCATCGAGGTAGGTTTCCCCTCTCTTCAACTACACATGTTGGCCACACTAATCTAATTTGCACCTCAGATGTTTGCTCAACGAGTATCCATGGTGAGGCCTCTAGCCTACCGGACGCTTCCCTTCCTTTCTTCTCATTCCGCAAGAACCTTTATCACTGGTTTCCCCAGAATTCCTCAAAGGTTCGAGCAATACCCAGACTATGATGATACAACCGATCCTGGGATGGTTTGTGGCCCCTAGCTTCTCAAAGTCATTGGTTCGGACTCTGTTAATACCTATGAGAATAGAATGGCGGATACGTGAATCCTCCGGCCGAAAAGCGTCAATTCAGAGATCCCTACGGTGATTGGTGGGATAAGCAAGGCCGTCGCAATTTTGGAGAGCCAGTAGGATCGACCCTTAACACTAAAAGCCACCCCGTGCATCTAGCTAAACATCACATTAAAATAGCTGCACGAAGACGACGATATCCTCGGCCGGTTCTCTCCTGAGGAATATACTCACTTCAAGCCAAGATGGGCATTCGCCATGAATGGGATATTCATTGCTACAATGCTTGGATTTTGTGGGATTGTCTATGCCCTCTACCCCGACCAGCCAGCAGTTCCCAGAACCTTTCCCCATGACGGATTGCTAGATGCACTCGGTGGCCCCGGAGCGCTTCCAGCACTGTCGGATAAAAATGATAAATAGATATTTATATTCAATTTTACCGATGTTTGCTGCTCTCTTGCTTGTGTGCACATAAACCACAAATTCCCAATCAGTCAAGCTTAGGCTGCAAAATACGTGGAAATCTGTATTTAAAAGGCGCAGAATTGGTATGTGCTCCGGAGAAGGAAGCGCATTGAAATATTACGAAAATATGCGCTATCTACCTAAAAATATATCTACCAGAGCTCCGTGATACCCTTAGACTATACTATATTTCTCCACGAGTACTACTTTTACAATGACTTTTAATATCGCAGTCCAAATTGCATGCTTGGTTCACACATTTACTAAAGTATGTTCTGAGTTGTACGCCAAGCGGGGCACTTGCCCGAACGCGGCTGATTGGTGGTCACTTGGGAGCTTAGACTATGAATTCCTACACCCTTTGGTTCCTAAGCTTCGACACCAACAAACTCAACCTTCATCTACCCTCCACGCTATCGACCAACTCCATCATCCCATTTATCTATCACCTACTAGATCCTATCAGCATCTTTGAGATCTGCTTTAGGACGTTTCAGCTCTACGCCAACCACCATGCCAAGTGCCACTGGAAAAGACTGGGAAAAGTACAAGAAGTTCGCTGACGAAGAGGAGGACGAGAAGAAGATTATACCACTATCGGAAGAGTATGTCTCCTTTCAAGGTGCTACCGATTTGGCTTTGTTGAATGGGACGGGCAGATATGGTGATGGAGATACAATATTAACTAGGCGCAAATGGTGTTGATAGAGATATCCAAGTCCTGAAAACCTATGGCGCTGCCCCCTACGCTGCATCTCTAAAGAAACTCGAGAAGGATATCAAGGACTTACAAACTAAGGTTAACGAAAAAATAGGTAAACTTTATCGCATCCGGATGCAGAAGTTTATGCTGACTGACTCTCCGGGATGTAGGTGTCAAAGAATCGGATACGGGGTTGGCCCCACCACATTTATGGGATGTCATGGGGGACAAGCAGCGCATGTCTGAGGAGCAGCCGTTACAAGTTGCGCGCTGTACCAAGATCATTCAGAGTGCAGATGACCCAGAGAAGGCCAAATATGTGATCAACGTTAAACAAATTGCAAAATTTGTTGTTAACCTTGGGGAACGAGTGTCTCCAACCGATATCGAGGAGGGGATGAGGGTTGGGTAAGTTGTTTCACAGATCCTTTCCAAAAATGCTTTTTTTAATATAAGGTGAATGTTGTTGCAGCGTTGATCGACAGAAGTACCAAATTCTTTTGCCTCTTCCTCCCAGAATCGATCCTTCGGTTACTATGATGACAGTTGAAGAGAAGCCCGACGTTACCTACGGTGATGTGGGCGGATGTAAGGAGCAGATTGAGAAGCTTCGTGAGGTCGTCGAACTCCCACTCTTATCTCCCGAACGATTTGTGAACCTCGGTATCGACCCCCCTAAAGGTATCCTTCTCTACGGCCCCCCGGGGACTGGAAAGACACTCTGCGCACGAGCAGTTGCAAACCGTACCGATGCTACCTTTATCCGTGTTATCGGTTCAGAGCTTGTTCAGAAGTATGTTGGTGAAGGGGCACGAATGGTCCGTGAGCTTTTTGAAATGGCTCGTACCAAAAAGGCTTGCATTATCTTTTTCGACGAAGTTGATGCCATCGGAGGTGCTCGTTTTGATGATGGCGCTGGCGGTGATAATGAGGTTCAGAGAACCATGTTGGAGTTGATTACCCAGTTGGATGGTTTCGACCCTAGAGGAAACATCAAAGTCATGTTTGCAACCAACCGGCCCAGTACCCTTGATCCTGCTCTTCTCCGGCCTGGACGTATTGATCGAAAGGTGGAGTTCAGTCTGCCAGATTTGGAAGGGAGGGCAAACGTTTTAAGGATTCACGCAAAGAGCATGAGTGTTGAGAGGGACATTAGATGGGAATTAATCTCCAGACTTTGTCCCAATAGCACTGGAGCTGAATTGCGGAGTGTGTGCACTGAAGCCGGTATGTGTTGAGCTGAATACCCTTGGTTCCCATAATCATTCTTGCATCGTCTAATGTTGATACCTTCTAGGAATGTTCGCTATCCGGGCCAGGCGAAAGGTAGCGACTGAGAAGGACTTCTTGTCCAGTGTCGAGAAAGTCATCAAGGGCAATCTCAAATTCAACTCCACCGCTACTTATATGCAGTATAATTAGTTTAGAAGGTAGGTATCTAGAGTTAGTTCAGGTGCAGAGCCTGAAATTGTACAGTACTGGAGTCAGAAAATTTGAGCTATTATTATGAAAAATACCCACATGGTTGAAGTTGGGATTGGGTGTGCATTGGCTTCTAAGACCTTGGAGCTCTGGATTCGTTGTAGCAATAATAAATTCAAATGCCGCTCTTTGGAAACCTGCTGGTAGACCAGACAGTACCAGCACGACACCCTACTTTCTGCCGAAAATTTCATTAGTCTAGTGCTGTGACCGACTGATATCATCAAGGCGGACAAAAACGCCTACCCGGACCGAATTTCTTTTGAGCACGAGAGATATTCTGCTGGTGAAATCGACCGCCATACCATAAGTCGTACCATATATCGCACCCCTCCTTGAGATATTGGTATTATAAGTTAATACAAGTAATTGAGCGGAATGAGAATCTGATGACAGTTTCAAATAGTAACACTACACTCAATGGTCACCAACAGGTATCTTGGGTCACATTTAACTCAAAATGAACTTTTACGAGTAGTTACATACAAGCAACCAATAAGAATGTTCATAGATCAGCTTACCTAATAGTTCTTCATAGGATACGACGGATTACCGAGGAAGTGCCTCGTGCCGCGACAATCTCCTCCGACACCCACAAGCAGACCTTTGGGTCTTCCACTAGCAAAGCCTAGCAACCAGCATCACCACTATTTCCCTCTCGCTTCGCACTTCACCACTTCACCATCCCGTCCCTTTATTCCTCTGATTTCCCCGCCCTCTCCCGTCCGCACACCTCTTTATCGCTCCTTCCCTCTACCGTCCCTGGCCTTTCATTTTGCTCGACCATCTTTTACCACTCCACAAAACCATGAACTCCCTCGCTCTGCGAAGGCTCGCATCTTCACGGGTTCGTCCTGAATGAATTAACCTTTAACCCCCCCTACTATAATCCAATTCCATATGATCAAAGCTAACACAAGTACCACAACACATAGATTTCGCAAGTAGCAAGTTTGCAGACTCGCTCATTCCACGCAACTAGATCAGCTGGTAAGTAGCCTTTTAATTGAAGCTAATTAGATTCCCAATTATATCTCGCTCGCTGCCGCTGAAATCCCCAGATCTTACGAAATCACATCTCTGACTCCTAACAATAGCGAAAATATTTGCCTCCGAGCCACTCCGTGCTAAAGAAGCTTCCCCTCATGTTTCCTCCAAATATCCCGTTGTGGTATGTTCTCGGTAGTTTGTTTCACTAGTTTCACGGATTTTTTATTTTTTTGTTCTTTTTCTTTTCTAAACCCTTGTTAGGATCATGAATACGATGCCATTGTTGTAGGCGCTGGTGGTGCCGGTCTTCGTGCAGCTTTCGGACTCGCAGAGGCGGGATTTAATACTGCTTGTATATCCAAGCTCTTCCCTACTAGATCACATACTGTTGCTGCTCAGGGTGGTATCAATGCCGCACTTGGAAACATGCATCCTGATGATTGGAGATGGCATATGTACGATACAGTGAAAGGATCGGATTGGCTTGGTGACCAGGATGCTATCCACTATATGACCAGAGAAGCCCCGGCCTCGGTCATTGAACTGGAGAACTACGGATGTCCTTTTGTGAGTTTTTTATTTAGATATACATTCCTTGTGTTTGTTATCCGTGAAAGCTCATAGGAACAATAGTCGAGAACGGAGGATGGGAAGATATACCAGCGTGCGTTCGGTGGGCAGTCACAGAAGTATGGCAAGGGAGGCCAAGCATATAGGTGCTGCGCCGCGGCAGACAGGTAATGATTTCTCCCCGGCTTTCGTACACAGTCTCCCCAACATTCCTAACTAATGCCCATAGAACCGGCCATGCCCTCCTACATACTTTATATGGGCAATCACTGAGACATAACACAAAGTATTTCATTGAATACTTCGCAATGGACCTCCTGATGGAAGACGGTGAGTGTGTGGGCGTCATCGCCTACAACCAGGAGGATGGCACCCTCCACAGGTTCCGAGCCCACAAGACAGTCCTAGCTACCGGTGGGTACGGGCGTACGTACTTTTCCTGCACTTCCGCCCACACATGTACCGGCGATGGTATGGCGATGGTGGCTCGGGCCGGGCTGCCCAACCAGGATCTGGAGTTCGTTCAATTCCATCCAACCGGGATTTACGGCGCAGGGTGTTTGATTACCGAGGGATCCCGCGGCGAAGGTGGGTACCTATTGAACTCTGAGGGTGAGAGATTCATGGAGAGATACGCCCCAACTGCGAAGGATCTCGCTAGTCGAGATGTGGTCTCCAGAAGCATGACTCTAGAAATTAGAAACGGCAGAGGTGTTGGTCCTGACAAGGACCATATATACCTTCAACTAAGTCATCTGCCAGCAGAGGTTCTCCATGAACGCCTCCCTGGTATCTCGGAGACCGCGGCCATCTTCTCTGGCGTTGACGTCACCAAGTCACCCATTCCGGTGTTACCCACTGTTCATTACAATATGGGCGGTATCCCCACCCGCTACACTGGTGAGGCTTTGACTATTGACGAGAACGGTAATGACAAAGTTGTTCCAGGCCTTTTCGCCGCCGGTGAGGCAGCTTGTGTTTCGGTCCACGGTGCCAACCGACTTGGAGCAAATTCACTTCTTGATCTCGTTGTTTTTGGCCGTGCCGTTGCTCACACCATCCGCGACACCCTAACCCCAGGAACCCCGCTAAAGCCGGTATCTGCCGACATTGGCGCCGCCTCTATTGCCAACCTAGACAAGATCCGCAACTCGGACGGCTCTAAGAGCACCGCTCAGATTAGACTTGACATGCAGAAGACTATGCAGACCGACGTTTCGGTCTTCAGGACACAGGAAAGCTTGGACCAAGGTGTTAAAAAGATTCAAAAGGTCGACGCCAGCTATCATAATTTAGGAATTAAAGACCGTAGCATGATCTGGAACTCTGACCTCGTTGAGGCACTTGAACTTGGCAATCTTCTGACGTGCGCTACTCAAACCGCACACGCGGCCGCGGCCAGAAAGGAGTCTCGTGGAGCGCACGCAAGAGAAGATTACCCTGAACGTGACGATGAGAACTGGATGAAGCATACACTGTCGTGGCAGAAGGAGCAACACGGTAAGGTCGACTTGAAATACCGTGCAGTCGTTGGAAATACCCTAGATGAGAGTACGTTCTTCCCCTCCTTATATTTGATTGAATCTTACTAACTATGCCACAGAGGAGTGTGCGGCGGTCCCGCCTTTCAAGCGTGTATATTAAACCAAACCAAATTCGAATTCAAATCAAAAAACGCAGCTAGGGAGAGAAGGGTCGCGGTGTTATCAGTAGATGGTTCAATCAACGGTAGTTTTTTATTTTATTTTATTTCATTCTTTTTTTGACTTTTTGGTTGGGATTATATTGTAGATGACTAAATAAAAATACGATTAATCGAATAATTATTATAGAAAGATATGATTCTTTCATTGACGATTTTCTTCGAGTGAGAATATATGCTCGGAGGGGTGGGATTCTTCCTTGATTATATCCTTGGTTCTGTTTATACAGTAGATTCTGTTTTCGTGCTATACAGTACTGATTAGGAACATATACTATTATTCTACTGGCCCTCTTTACCTACATGCATCCGCTCCAGAGATCCCGGTTTCGGGGTTCGTTCGAACCAAACTACTCTATGTGTAGAGCCTATAGTTGTCATAGGCAGGTAGGCTACGCCCCGACGGACACCCATCCACAACCACAAAGCCTCCCCGCACCACGATCCCCAACATAGCGAGCGGCCACAACTTACCGCCCGGTCCCTGAAGAGCTCTGCTGTTCCCGACCCCCCCCCTCAGTCCAAAAAATTCCGCAAGCCAGCGTTCATCCGTAGGGTACACAGCACAGAAACCCCCCCCTCTCTCCCCAGCACAATTCCCACAAGCCGATACCCACTCCAAGTCCCAAGCCCCGTATATGCCCGCGAAGACCGACGCCCGTTCCCGGCGAGCCCGGGAACGCCGAGCAGATCTCGGCCGCTCATAAATAAATGCCCTACCCCACATCCGGCGCTGGGTTGATTGCGAGGGCTCGGAGCCGTGTGATAATCTCCGCAGGTTGCTGTGTGCGTGTAGTGGGGCACCGTGGGCACAGTAATAATGGGCAGGGCGGTGTGGGGGGTGGGGAGATGTTGAGGGGCCAAGGTGTATCGGTAGAGTTGAGGGATGAGAAGGTATCTTGGGATGGACCACGGCCTTCACATGATACTATAGAAATGGATGGGAAATTTTGGGGAGGTTTTTTCTCCTTTTTTCCTCCTTGGGAGATATGTACTCTTCGCCTTTTTCAGGGGAAACCGCATACTGTCACTACATGGACCTTTGGGCTGTTAGGATATCGCTTTAGTAATCTATTCTAGGATTTGGTATGAGCATGGCATTGTAAACCTGATGTGTCATCACTCGGAGACATCACGAGCACCGACCCCAGTCATCACCAAAGGGGCCCAGGTCCATGGGAGTACCGTACGGTATTAAATTCCTTAATCCCATCCCCTACCCACTACCGGTACTGTGATCAAAAGGGAAGGGGGGAAAGTAAGAAAAAATGGTTCTCAGAGCGCGGGCAATCCACCCTTCATCATTGGAATAGATATTGTAGAAAAGAAATGAAGGGAATAATAATACGAACCCCAAGCACGCAGGCAAAGCACAAAATAGATATAAAAAAATGGCAAGTGGAAAAAAAAAGCCCAATATTTCCATCCAGCCCCAGCCAGCCAGCCAGCCAATCAGACCACATTCCATTCCCCCAAAGCAAGCCAGCCAACCGACCAACCAACCAACCAACCAACCAAAGCCAAGCCAGATAACTAACGCCAACGAGTAGAGCAGGGTAGTGTACTCGAGTAGAGTGGACATTAAGAATATAACTCCCCAGCACTATCGAAGAAAAAAAAAGCCTAAAATCACCTTCTAGAAGGGCCACCAGGGACCATCGTTCCCATCCTCCCCCCACCGGAACCCATACTCTGACGAACGATCGCTTCGGCCGCCGCCGCAGCAGCGAGCCTCTCCTTCTGTCTGTTGCGGTCTTTGAGGTACGACACAGCCTCCGGCCTCATACGTAGGATTCGTAAAATCATATCATCGTTGGGCTCAGCTTGGGCTTCTCTGCGTTTCTCTTCCTTTGCTTTCCGCATAGTACCCAGGTTTCTACTCATCAAAACAGATTTCGTGCGCTTCGCGCCTGGGACTCCGAGGAATCCGCCAAAGCTTGTGGGTGCCGGATTATTCTTTTCTATCAACTTCTGGCGGGCCTGCTGTTGACGGGCCGCGGAGGCATTGGCCATGCGTTCTGATGTGCGAATTAGGTTGTCGGTTGATTCGAAGTAGAAGAAGTTTAGGGATTGGAGTTCGTGGTATTTTGGGGATTTGAGGACGTCTATTGGGACACCGGTTGCTTCGCCTGTATGTTCGTCCACAGCGTGGAAGAAGTCGAACATGAGCTCCGTCGTTTTAGTTCTTGTTTTCATATGATCGCTCGGGGGTTCGGGGAATTACCTGTAACCATTTAAAGACCGTCTCGGTCTCTTGTGGAGATAACTGTTTTTGTTGAGATGGTTTATCTGAAAGCGTGGGCACAAGCAGGCCTTCAATAGTAACCAAAACCTCTTTCCACAGCTTAGACATTACCAAAGTCAAGGCAGCACTAGTTAGTTTTGATTCAAGATTGCGAAATTCTCATTGAAATAATCTGTCAGTGGGACAACAGCTGCTGCAATCTCCGCCTCAGTTACTCCTTGCCCACCGGTTGACGGTGGGCGATTACCACCCAGCCCTGTACGACTAAATAAGTTGGAGACTGCTGATATGCTATACCCTTTAGAAAGTACACTCTTCAGAGCAGAGCGCGAGAGGCAGTGATGGATATATGCAGACAACTAGAAATTTTGTTAGGCCAAGTATCGCTCAAACGAGAAGAATTTCCTACCTTATCTGTAATCTGCCGTGTCATGTCCCTTTCAGTTCTCTTCAGTGTCCTGAACGCTCTTCCGAAGCAAAACTGAATGTCATCTCGTTCACCTTCCATACTAACCCTCAGCAAAAGCCTTCCTTGAGTATCCAGATCAAGCCAGTATTCCTTTGGCAGGAAATCCCCGAAGTTGGATGGGTCCAGCTTAATACTAGTTCTCCCAACACAGTCATGGTCTCCGACAGTATCCCAATCCCACACCGTCGCTGTCAACCAAATCTGCCCCTGTGTAGTAATATCCACTGTCTCTTCCCACCTCGGGTTGAGGTTGCTGTATATGACTCTAGTTTTTGCCAATCGCTTCTGATATTCGTCGCCCAAAACTACGTAAGGATCGCTGAAGCCATTAATATCCATAGCTTTCAGGTCTTCAGCCTCCACGATCTTGATAGTAAAAACATAGTTACTGGATTTCTTTCTTTGTTGAGTAACGGGTGGAGAGTGTCTTGCAAGTGTTGCTGCAACCCCGTCAACATTGACAGTGTGCTCCAACTTATCAAGCTGTTGAAGGGCGAATTCAACATTATTGAGTTTTGTACACGACTAGGAACCATTAGCTTTTGGATGTTTAGAATATCGCAGAATTGAGAATAGGTATACCTCTGGAGCAAATTGGAATGGCTCAATTTTATCCTTATTACTCCACGCGTCTCGCGCCATAGCCATCCATCTTTGCTGCCTTGTTTGGCGCGCTGCGGCTTCCTGTTCCGGAGTTTGTCTATCCATTTCAAAGGTAAACAGCTTTTCTAACACTTCACAGTATCTGGCAATTCCACTGCCAAGGGTCTTGGCTAAAGCCGTCATGAATTTCCCATGCTGAACGTCGTCCTTCCATTCGAGCTTCTTGATGTAATCGACCGTCTGATTCAGCGAGCGGAAAATATCCACTACAGACATTGTGTGGCGTTCATCATCCGTGGGCTCGCGCCCTTGCTCCTCACGAATCCTTATAATAAAGTCATCGTGCTTGATAGCTTCATCAACCCAGCCGATCACTTTGGCATCAGTATTCTTAATCCAGCGCCACACAAAGTCTGCTAGAAAATCTTCAAGATGAATTGGGAATTTGTTTTTGGGAAACATGTCTCCATAGATTCGGCGAATCTCCGATAGCTCCCTGTAAAGATCGAATCCGTCTTCGATCTCCACCTCTTGGTTCTTTTCTTGGTACGCCTGCATAATCCCAAGAACTACATCCCGTGCAACAGCAGCATATTCTGGAAACACAACCTCAACAAATATCACCATTGGATCCACGGACCTAGTCAGGCGGATTTCCATGTTAGAACGGTAACTAAAAAATAAAAATAAAAATGCGTAAAATATCAATGGACGAGGATTAACAAAAACATACCCCATGATAGGTTCTTTAAAGCGTTTGTTAATTTTCTCCGCTAGCTTAACAATTTTCTGAGTCAATTCAACCAGGTGAAACGGATCCAACTCGTTTCTATCCTGGGGTAGCTCGCTAACAATTTCCTTGAGTACTTCAGATGCCTTATTCCGTAACCCATCTTTCAATTGTTCAATGTAGCTTTCCAAGCTACTCGATGTGAATAATGGGTCCTCGTATATGTGCTGGTTTAGAATATACATAACCCGCCCAATGGGCTTAGTTTTTGGGTCAAATGCATGTTGGAGAAGATCATAGAGATCTCCGAGGAGGCTACCATGGATAGATGACAATATCTGGCGATAGAGGTTTTGATCCGCTACCGTCCAAGTTCGCCAATCAAAATCGGTGGACCCCTTAGCATATAGCCAAGCGGTATCCAAAGTAACAAGGTCGATGTCTTGGTCCTGATAAAACTTCCGGATAGCATCCAAGAACAAGATTGATCTAGAAAACTGTGGAATGCGCCAGCGTGTACAACACTCACTCAAAAGATCCAATGAGCTCTTCGAAAGAAGTACTGTAGGATCAGCCCCTGGGATGTCCATCGGAAGAGCATCAGGATCCCGAAGGTCGTACGAAAGGCACTTTTCAACCACGTGGCGAAAATAGACTCGAGGGTCCGGTGGAATATAGGTATACGGCGTGTCAAGCGTGTCATCAGCGACAGGAGAGGACACATCGAAATTTCCCATGTCGGCCGGGTAGTCATAGCCGTACAAAGAAGAAGATGCATCCGACGATGTGGATGAGCGTGAAAGGTCATGATAGGGATATGCACTGCTTTGCTGCAAAGACTGTGGTCGAGCCGTAATCGGGCTCGGACCAGAAGTCGTTTTCGCAAGCTCCGAAGGGTTTGACTGTACAATTCCGAGCATGATCTGGGAGAGAGCCGGTGTCTCTAACCTCCGCCACGCTTCCCATGCTTCATCCGTATCAAAATCGTCACTCCGCAATGTCCGTCTAGTATTGCCGAGACTTAAGTTATTACTATATGCCTTCATATCCATGAGGGCTGCCTTCTCCGTCCAAATGGGCTTATTCATGTTAATGTCTTGCTGACATGTTTGCAGAGATACACCGAAAACCCTAGCTACCACCTTCACCAGGGGCATGTCATTGACGTTGTAGCTCAAGGGTGCCGGGGGGCCCGCGACCATCGCCGTCGAAGTCCGCGGGGTCTCCTCAGCCAGGTTCTGATCATGTTGAAGCAGCTTAGATTCCAAAGTGGCTAATTGTGACGCCAATTCGGGGTAACTCCCGATCCAATCCTTATCCTTAAGGACGCTGTACATAAGCCTCACGAATAATGCAACATGGCGGTCCGTCAGCCATTTCCATGAATCATCTTGCTTGACCTTCTGCAATTCCTTAGTAGCCGAGGAGTAAAAGATCAAGACTAAGTCCTCAGCCCGTCGAGACTTCGCTACTCCCTCATAGAAACGAGGCTCCCTGAAAGCGGCGTAGAAGGCTCCGAATGTTCGCTTCACAGCAGCATCTTTGTATTCGGCACCAAACTCCCTTCCCATAACCACACCTTCTAGCCTCGGCTGAAGGGCGGGTAGAAAGCCTTTAGGAAACTTGTTTCCCTTCGATCCTCGGCTCGTGTGGCTAGAGAAATCCCGCATCAACTCGTGGAAGCTGGTCGATGAACGATGGATCTGTGGAGGGGCGGGAGCGGGGACCTGCCGCCTAGGACGAGGCTGGAGCAGGTAGGCCAGGTAAGCGCAGCGGAGGGCATAGGTGTAAGCATCGTCAGCGGTCACCAGGACTGATTGCCTTGAGCGTTGTGAACCCCCGGGACCCGTTCGACGCAGGCGGTGGGACATCGGGGAGGTGATGAGGCAGTGTGGGGGAAAGTGTAGTTATTGACAGTAGATGGCAGAAGGCGATAATGTAGCAGGATAGCAATCGTCACAGGGCACTGCTTCTGCTTCTAGTTGGACCGGTTCGGTAGGGTGGGTTGACGTTGCCTCGATATCCGACCTCACACAAGGCGGGGGGTTGGGGCGCAAGGGCAGCGGAAACACCACAACCACAAAAAGCAATATGATACTAAACCGACGACCGCTGTAAAGAACACTCCAACTCGGGCGGAAATGATAACAATGGAGAGACGCGGTAACTGCACCGTATCTCGGGGGGCGTTGGATGTCAAAGCAGACTAGTATCAAAAACAAAACAAAACAAAACAATCAAGGGTCAGGATGGACTATTAGGCTATGATGCAGGAGATAGGGCAGCAGGACAAGACAGGGGGAGGGGGGGAGCTGTTGGTTCAAAGCAGGAGCTGTGGGGGAAGCCTGGCGATCTCTCAGCTCCAATATCGGCCGTTATCATACAAAAGGGACAAACAAGACAAGAGAGCACCAGACGATGTTGAGTCAGTGGGAAGAGTAGGAATAACGTGATGATCAGGGATGGCTCCGCTGTTATTCCGGAGGATAGAAAATGCGGTACCAAATGACGTTGGAACCCCTCACCAGCCAAGTGCTACTCTCACCAAGTCTAACTGTGCTTCCACCCTTCGTTATTGTTGTAAACTCTGTGGCCAGCTTCTGTAGCCGCTGGATACTCGCAACAACTCGACAAAGAAAAGTGAAACCTGTTAAATCACAAAGCCAACCCCTTGAATTGTCGCGATACAGCAATTGAGAATCTCCGTACGGGACGGTGCGGTATATTCTATGAATTCGTTTAGAAGGGCCATCCAGTCCAACAAAAAAGAAAGAGAGTTGGCCTAATTTGTCCCATCATGCTCGGACAGTTGGTGATATGGGTGCCGTATCACTGGCTATAGATAGAAGGAAAGACGTGGTAACGCAGAGCTAACTTAGTGCTCAAAGTTGAAAAGGATACCGTATTTTAAGTACTGGGAGAGTTGTTATCGTATACAAGCACAGTACCATGCTTGAGCACCTAACCCATGTACTCGAGTACAGGGTTTGTACTAATACAAGTACTCGTACAGTACGGAGACTAGTCCACATCTCCGTGGGGAGGGCCTACCGGCTTTTACATGGGAATGACAGGTGTGGAGAATTCAAAGAGGTAAAGGAGTGGCTTCTCCGTTCTCCCCCCCGGCTCCTTAGTGTCATTCCAGCCGACCAATTCGTTGATAGTGCTCGAGATGATATCCAACAGCGGCAGCACCACGACTAACGAAAAACCAGCGACTGCCATAGTCTACAACTCTGATATCGCATCCCACCGTAGCTAAATTAGCTCTGTGTGGCCCGCCCAGCGAACAGCTGTTGCCTGGGCAGGTGGCTTATTTTTGAATTCTTCCGACTCGCTATGATACAACAGCAGCAGTGCGTGATACGATATCATAGCTGACCCCAAACGCCTCAGCATTCCTATTCTGAAAAATAAAATAAAAAAGGAAAGGTTAATCACCTTGGCATTATTAGGGCTTCGGCAACCTGCCATTCAGAAATGGTGGAACGTTGACTCAAGATATCATACGGTATCGATACTTAACTTATTGCCAGAGGGGGTGGGGCAGAGTGAGCGCTGGCCTGTATCACGAGAAATGGAATTACAAGTAAAAACGAGGCAGAAAGACTTTCTTCCCCAGACGCTTATGCTGAGACGGTTTCAAAAAAGGGAGGAAGAAGAGCACTGTAACTTATAACAGCAGTATTATGGCAGACGTCCCCTACCTTCCCTTCCCCGTTCCCCGTTCAGCAACACAGCTTCCAGTTCCGGCCACTATGGCGCATTCGCAGGCTCGTGGCTCGTAATAGAAGGAGTAATGTGTAAGATTTTGGCACAGTGCCAGATACGGCCAACTGTTAACCATCTAGCGACAAGAATAAATGATTTAAGACAAGAATCGCTAACTGTATGATACAAGTACCTGACCATTCTTCCAAGCCTTCCCCCGACCCCCCCCGACCATGTCTCACAGGCCCACTTCAATTCGTCAATCACCAGTTCCTACGGTTGCAGAGCTGCGCTCAATGGATTTATGATATGTTCTTCCCCCCCCAAGCCCAAAACCTAGTCTCAGCGTAGATCAAACCAACCCACCCCAATTGACCTCCTAACGGAGGCATGCCCAAGCAATCCTCGTAAAGGGTGAGCCCCCCACCCACCGCCCCGTCGCTCTTTTCCCATACTCGAGTATATCAACAGCACCTCCGACAAAACACTCGTCATAAGTGTTCTACCATCCATGCCTGTCATTTCGTTTCCACCCCCCCTCTTCATCATTGGACCCGCACGAATTACATTGCATAACCTAGCGACGTATTAAAAAAAGGAAAAAAAAAGGAATGAAATGAGTTAAAAATGATCCAACAAAAGCCCTACACACTTTCTTCCTGTGTACAGTACTAGTACGGTACCGTAGAGAGTGCGTCCCGAATTGTAAAATAAAATAAAGATCAAAAATAAAAAAATAAAAAAACAGGTGTGATGTACTCGAGTAGCATGCAGTACCGGTACGGGTACTGCACTGCCTAGGAGTGCTGGACGCTTTTAGTTCGCATCGCAGATCTAAATAAATCATATCCGCTTCTCATACCCATCTTCCACTGTAAGGTATTCAAATCATTTATTCTACCTAAAGGATAACCACCCAACAGGCATATGCACCCAACGGCATTATATCCCAGTGATAAGCCAACACCACCCTAATCCAAAACAATAAAATAAACACTACCATGGCTGAATGCCATCTCGTAACCCTCCTCCCAAACATAAAACCAGCAGTCTCACAGGCGCTCATTCCACCAGTGGAATCCCAGATTAATATGTCTTACTGCCTCGTAACCACTCCTCCAAAATCAATCAAAATCACCCCCATGCATCGCAAAACAAGCAATCAATTTATCCAACCCCACCCTCAGCTCTTCCCCTGAGCCAACAAAGAAAGTCTCCCGACTATGTATCCCAATACTTAGGGGTTATTGCAGATATGCCAGTACTGCATCTACCTCTACCAGACACCATCTGCAATATCCTTTCTTCACCCCCAACTCATGCACCGCCCACTACAAGGTCACCGACACCCTATATTCCAACCCGTGTCCATTCCACTTCTCCTCAAACATCTTCCAGAATTACGCAGTCCACCTACTCACACATCCCGGATTCCACTCAAAGTGATACTGTCGCGACCTGAATAACATGTTGGCCCTACAGGCTTTACATAAATAGTTGTTACTGAGTCTAATCAAAAACGGGTATTGGAACTTGACTGCAAAAGGCAGTGCCGGCAGCTTACATAGATGTCCAGCACCCCCAGTCCCCTTACATTTCTTACAAACTATGTTATCAGCAATCTCGACCACGCAGCCATCATTCCCGTTCACAAATAACGTCCCCTTAAATGGATTACCAGTCACCATGCGAACACCACCAAGATTGCTTTTCCTAGCCAGCACTCCGAGTCCCAATTAGTGGTGCTTCTGCTACTACATCATCCATTCTTCCAGGTCCTTGTCTTTGAAGAGTTTGGCCTTATCAGGTCTGGATTCAGTGTAACGCTCACACTGGACTAAATGCATCCTATTATTGCCCCTGATGCAGTCACCCTGATTGTCACTACCAGCCCTACTCCTCAGCCTCACCAGAACATATTTGTCCATCTTCAATAAACCCCTCAAATGTCCAGGTTTAGTGGGTTTCTTAGAGTAGTACTCATGCCCTTCATCCTGGTACCAAGCTACCCACTCTCGCTGCCTAAGATCGTTCGCCACCATCTTATTCCTAATCCTGAAGGAGTTGGTAATAACATGGCCAAGACTCCTCCCAACTGAGCCCCTCGTGATATTATCGACTTCTTCATTGCCAGGAATCCCTATATAAATAGGGACTCACTGCAGACCCACACTATTGAACTGGTTCAATAGAGGCATAAGCACTTCCCAAATACTTACTGTCTTATTGTCACAACCAATATTTCTCACCATTAAGAGAATCGGTTGACAATCCAACAGCACAACCACTCTTTGACAAGTAGGAGCAATGATGGTCATACTTGAAAGTACATTAACTACAGCCATCAGCTTACACTCCACAATCGACCATTTCGATGGTACACTGAACCTCCTGGACTTAATCCTAATACTATCAAAGTAAGCTACCCACCTACAGGCAGTACCCTTGTCAGTCTTGAATCCGTCAGTGAATACCATCATCCACCCGTTCATAACTTCAAACTCCTAGTAAGCCACCAAGGCTTTCGCTTTACCCCGGTCAACACGGATGGACAGTCTGACATTCAACTCCTTATCAGAGTGCAATTCCATGGCCTTCGCCCCATCAAATTCCCAATCTACCCTGGTCGCCGACCACTATGGAAAATCTTCCCCAAAGCATTATGTAATCATCCTGTCATAGTACCTTTTCTGCAAGTAATGCCCCTGAATAATAACACGGATCACTCTAAATTCGGCACTCAGGGTATTATTGGCGAGTTTCATCGGGGTCTGGAACATACTCCAGATGCAATCATTCACATGAACCTGAATTCTCTTCACATAAGACAGAAAGTCAATCAAGAACTCAAGCCCATAGCAAACAGTCGGAAGATATACAGCCTGTATTAGCCAGTACGCCTCCCAGGTGCCAATCCCCTTATCCCCTCCCACCTTTTCATCAATCCCCCAATTCTCCTCCTCACTCCCAAACCTCTCTTCAGCCAATAGTTGACATGGTAGTCCCAGTGCATATGCTTATTCAGGTAGTAGCCAAACACCCTAAGGCACTCAACCCGCTCCAAACACACATCACCGAAATCAACCCCATCCCATACCGTATCACCCAGCCCCAGCCACTGCAGTTTTCTCTCAGAGAAGTCCATACTCCTTCCCTATGC